GATTAAATCAATAAGCTTTTTGATTGATTCAGGGCGCAGCGAAGCCAAATTCAATCAAGGCAAGGGGGGCTTGCTTTTCCTGACGCTGAGTCATCCTATTAAAATTTAGCTATGCTAATGGAACAGGAAAAGTATTCAGATGATATGGACCCCGGCGAGAACCTCCAATTGCTTAGGGGTCGCACTCTCTCCCGCTTGGTGGACGAAATCTTCTCTCCTTTTAGAATTCTTTCTCCCACACACCTTTGCCCTCTTTCACCGCAGAGGAAAGAAGAATCTTCCAAATAAATATATAACAATTTTTTTTAGTAAGTAGGGCCCCAGAACGCTAAAAAGGCGGGGGAACTAGAGTTGTCACGATAGGAAAGATAAATGACTATAAGGAACCAACGATTCTCTCTTCTTAAACAACCAATATCCTCCACACTTAATCAGCATTTGATAGATTATCCAACCCCGAGCAATCTTAGTTATTGGTGGGGGTTCGGTCCGTTAGCTGGTATTTGTTTAGTCATTCAGATAGTGACTGGCGTTTTTTTAGCTATGCATTACACACCTCATGTGGATCTAGCTTTCAACAGCGTAGAACACATTATGAGAGATGTTGAAGGGGGTTGGTTGCTCCGTTATATGCATGCTAATGGGGCAAGTATGTTTCTCATTGTGGTTCACCTTCATATTTTTCGCGGTCTATATCATGCGAGTTATAGCAGTCCTAGGGAATTTGTTCGGTGTCTCGGAGTTGTAATCTTCCTATTAATGATTGTGACAGCTTTTACAGGATACGTACTACCTTGGGGTCAGATGAGCTTTTGGGGAGCTACAGTAATTACAAGCTTAGCTAGCGCCATACCTGTAGTAGGGGATACCATAGTGACTTGGCTTTGGGGCGGTTTCTCCGTGGACAATGCCACCTTAAATCGTTTTTTTAGTCTTCATCATTTACTCCCCTTTATTTTAGTAGGCGCCAGTCTTCTTCATCTGGCCGCATTGCATCAATATGGATCAAATAATCCATTGGGTGTACATTCAGAGATGGATAAAATTTCTTTTTACCCTTATTTTTATGTAAAGGATCTAGTAGGTTGGGTAGCTTTTGCTATCTTTTCTTCCATTTGGATTTTTTATGCTCCTAATGTTTTGGGGCATCCCGACAATTATATACCTGCTAATCCGATGCCCACCCCGCCTCATATTGTGCCGGAATGGTATTTCCTACCGATCCATGCCATTCTTCGTAGTATACCTGACAAATCGGGAGGTGTAGCCGCAATAGCACCAGTTTTTATATGTCTGTTGGCTTTACCTTTTTTTAAAAGTATGTATGTGCGTAGTTCAAGTTTTCGCCCTATTCACCAAGGAATATTTTGGTTGCTTTTGGCGGATTGCTTACTACTAGGTTGGATCGGATGTCAACCTGTGGAGGCACCATTTGTTACTATTGGACAAATTTCTTCTTTAGTTTTCTTCTTATTCTTTGCCATAACGCCCATTCCGGGACAGGTTGGAAGAGGAATTCCTAATTCTTACACGGATGAGACTGATCACACCTGATCAGTGAAAAATTCTGACACCAATCATTTTCGAGTGAGTATTACACCAAGAATTAATTGACAAGCGGATGAGTTTTCTAGTTGGCTATGTTGATATAGCTTAGATAGGGAAAAGATACTATATATAGGGTAGGGCTGCACTTTTAAATCCGGGGCTTTGTTCCCGAAACTCCCCCTTCCCCCTCCCCGTCCCTTACTCGTCTTTTGAAAGCCAGAACATTCGCATAGAGGAGTATCTGTATCACGCATGCTCCTCCACTGATGACAAAATGACCTTATATCCTCCTCTAGGAATTCCTACCCGGGGAAAGAAGTAGAAGAGTATTCTGCATGAATATGCTTCTGCACTGGGAATATCTCATAGTGGGAAGGCCCAGAGATCATAAAAGATGGGATGGGAATGAAGGCATTCCAGCCCAACATAATCCGGTGAATGGGTCGAGAGAGATAGGGAGGGGGGGAGGGGGGATACAGGAAGTATAGTGAACAGTTAAGTGGCTATCCAAGCATTCAATCGGCTATGGAGGGAGGTTTCAGCAAGCGGGTAAGCCGATGATGACTAGTAAAAACTTAGGTAGGTCGATCGTCGCTCATCCCTCGTGTTCTCTCCCGTGAAGTGATTAATCCCTAAAGTGGGCATGCAATCCCTATGGAAAAGCAAGTATTCCGATTGGAGGAAATTTCCACCCTCTGATGATCCATTCCGCCCAAGACAACACAGAGGATGAAGAGTTTGTATAGGACGAGAGCTAGCCTTTAGACGAATCAAGGATGACCTCTCTGAGGCACCAGTGCTAATGCCTCCTCGGCCCGGAAGAACCACTACGGCTATACATATCAGCCTCAAACGAGTCGTTGGGAACATTCTTATCGCAGAAGAACGGAGAAGGAGTGGTTTCCCTCTCTTCGGGAAGTGAGACAGACGACTATTTTCATAGAGAGAGAGCACTAGACCTGACTAAACATCATCAGCGAGAAGTCACGTCTTGCTTGCTAACACAATATCTTAAGTAGTAAATGGTAACTTCACTACATCCATTCGCCTTGACCGGATCATAGCGTTAGCGGAGTAGGGAACTCCCCCTAAGAACCGATCGGCATGTTGACCTGCTCATCCGCGAGTATGCTCTTAACATGCGTTTAATCGGTTTCAGTGATTGAATTCGAGTCCTACAGAGCGAGCGTGCCATCAAGTATCAAGTAAAGATAGGTTTGAGAAATAACTCTATATAAAAAATCAGTGGTGCATTGTATCCGCTCTCAAGCTGTAGTTGATTGATGTAGTTGCTTGTAGTTTTCTTTTATCATCGAGATTGGGTTGGTGTTCAGTGCCGTGGGTACAAGATCGAAAAGAATGCTTTGCATTACAAGTGAGATGCCCAAGATAAAAGGATCCGAAGGAGCTCGACTGCCAAGGAAAGGAACATCGGCTCTAACCAATGATTGCCAGTTCCTAAGCTCCGGCCTAAAGACAACTGCCTTCTCAACCCACTCGTACGGCTCGTTCACAACTCTCAGGTCCCACCCGATTTCTGATAGAATTGCTGGTCTGCTCCGCTGTAAAAGCCGGCATTTATGGAACTGTTGCCACCAAGAATGTGTCCTCTGGCGTTGGGGACCCCATCCTCGGCTTGGGCATGGGAGTCAAATGTATCAACCTCAGTGAGTGTGGCCAAGAATCTTTCTTGGGTCATCAAATTGGGGTTGCCATAGGGAACGCCACCTCGTTCAAGCACAAGAACTCGATAGGACTGTGACAAGGTGGCGGCCAACGGACAACCGGCAGTGCCACCTCCTACAATTATATAGTCATAGTAATCCTCCGATGGAAAGTTTTTGGCGTTGAACACAAACTTTATATAACTTGGATCTGGTGCAGAAATTCAACAAAAATGATTAGCTTCTATTTTAAAAACTGAAGCAAAACAGACGACAAGAAAAGATAATTTTTATGTTCTAATGAATGTCGTTTAGGTCTAACTGTATTTAACTCATGTTAAGTGGAAAATGGAAATTTCTTTTTTTGCATTTAGCAACCAAACGGCTTGAATTGATTTAAGCGCTTAACTCTTAGCTCTAAGACTGAATAAGGCATCTACGGATATGAGTTCGGAATCATAAGTAGGAATTTCTTGAAAGCCGAGAAGCGTTATAGGGCGAGGGGCCTAGCGTCTTTCTCGGAATAGCTATCTAAAGTACCCAAGCCAAGGGCAAGGTTGATTTTTCCTATAACTCTATCAATTCCGATTGAATGCCCATCTTTAGAAAGCGTTTACCCCGCAAGAGAGGAGGATTGATGGACATAGGCTGCAGATGGACCAGAATATGCTGTGGGACTTCTGACGTTCGTTCCTCCTTATCTTGCCCGGTAGGTTGTTACAGAAAGAGCCAAACCAAAGCAAAGCAGGGACTGATTCCACATGGGGAAAGAAAGGAGTCGGGCTAAATAGCGTAGATAAGAGTTTTCAAGTTAGGCTTTTTTGAAAGAAAATGCCTTTTGTTGTTGTCGCGTCTTAGGGTCTTATCGGCTTTGAGGCTAGTGACCTTCTCCGGTCTGTGATGGAAGCAATCTCTCTCCGGTCGGTTCGACTGTTAATGGTTTAATGAATATCTCCTTAGGAAGAAAAGGCTCTTTGGCTCTTTGCAATAAGCGCTGTTCGAGGAATAACCACATCCGCTGCTGTGAAACGGTCTTACAGTAAGCGCTCTTAGGCTAATAACCGCTGTTCGTTAATCTAGCGTTTTCGATTTTCACTAATCCGAATCTAGGGGTTGTTCACGAATGTCCTCTTTCATAAGAGCAAGGTGGTGAGTAGGCAACGTCGTTTTTAAGTCATTGATAGACCTCTCCTACTATACAGAAAAAGAATCCGATTATGTTATGTGCATTTTGCCGGGCTTAGCCCTAGATACCCTCCCTACCCCTTTCGACGCAGCAATGAGAACAGCAGGGGTTGCTTTACTTCTTGGCGGAGGAGTGAGTGACTCTTCTTCTTTTAGGCTGGCATGGTCTTAGAATGCACGATAGAAGTGCGGACTAAGAGCTGTTTAGCGGGATAAACCCTGTGGGATAACGGTTCTTTTAAGGCATACCTCTCTTTCTGATTCTGACTGTCTTGCGAACCTTGCTTTAAAGCTTTCACGTGGGCAATTGATAATGTCAATATTCTAACTCCTTTTTCTTTTTCGGAGGACAGAAAGAAGACGATTTTCGGGCCAGACGATTTTTCCACTTTCATTAGACGCTCTCCTGGCTTTAGCGGAATAACAGCAGTTGGTAATATTATAGGTAAGAAAGAAGCCAATGTCCCTAGTATCAGGAAGAGGGTTGACGAAATCATAGGGTGCACATTCATATGATTCTAGAAATTCCTTTTTCATGTCCGTTCCCAGGCGAAAGACGGCTATTCTTCGCATCTCGAAATTAAATTCCGTCTTAGCCGTGGAAGGCAGAAATCCTATCCCTTCCAGCTCTCATCCTAGGATAGTCTCAAGCAGAGGTCTTACAGGGAAGGGAGTTAGCAAGCGAGTAAGGTTCATCAGCAAGAGTTAGGCCAGGGGGAAGCTCACTCCTGTCCATATGATATGGCTTTTCCCTTTCAATGGGTCATGTTTAACTCAGCCTATGCCCCACCGCCTCACGAATAGAAGGGTAGAGAACGAGATTCCATTCCACGGAGATGCCTAACGGCCACTTTGGTCCCCCACCTCAAGCAAGAAACGAAGCCGAAGAAGAAAGGCTCTAAGAGACCTGTTCTTTTTTTTCTTAGCGGCTTGATCGAGCAGCCTTTTAGATAGGATAGCGAAAGAAATGTCTAGCAAGCGGGGTTGGGTACTCCCGTATCCCCCGCAGCAGCCATAGCCGGGCAATTAAGGTGCTTTTACTTGTAATTCTTATTAACGAACAATCAGAAATGCTAACCTTGTTTCATCCGAAGAGACGAATAAGAAAGCAGATCGGAGAACCCCAGGCATGGAATGTTGGTCGAGGCTAAGGGGAACTCCACCTACTCGCTCACTTGTTAGCAAGGTTGGAGTCCTTATCCGCATCTATCTTACTAAACGGAATCGCCCTAATCGAAATTTCGATGGATTGCCAAAAAAATAGAGCATATCGCACCCCAGAGGGGGCCAGTACCCGCACGTAAGGACTATTTGCCCGCTGCCACAGTTAAAAGCACGGATCGAACGGGGTAAGTATCTTTGTCCCTTCCAAGTCAACTTTGTCTCTGAATGGGGATTTAAATACTTATGGGGGGTTCTTTTTAGTGCCCGCTACTATTCTCAGGATAGAATGTATGAGGCAAGAGCATGTTGCTCGCAGTTTGCATTTCTTCGGGGGCGTGAGTCAGTGAAACCCGTGTTGTTCTTCCCCCCGTTCCCTCATTGGTTTATCAGATCCTCCATCTCTGGAAAGAGAAAGAGAGTTCGGAAGAAGATTAAGGGAGAATAAGTAGAGGAGAGGATGGTTAATCAAAAGATAGATGGCCGGGTTAGAGCTTGCTGGTTAGCTGGGCGAGAAAATAGAAAGAAAAATAGAGAGATGGAAAATGAAGTAAGCTTGAGCCTGCGGAACCAGTAATGGATCAAAGCAAAGGATAGCTTTTTAGCTGCGAGCGGATGAGCGAGAAATGGAAGTGCCTTGTTAAGCGGCTCCTTCCTGCCCCTTACCCCTTGGTGTAAATCGGCTTGGATTCTTCTGCTTTCTCATCTGCTCCAGTCAATGGTCTCTGCTCGAAAGTCCCATTGCATGAAAAAACTCAAAAAAGAATAGGTGATCGTAGGTCAGCCCGTAGGTAAGTTCCGGTCTTTCATTGAGATTTTCTCGTTCATGATCTCTAATCCTTTGAGTAGATTGGGCAGGGGTAAGACTATGCACATAGCTTCGGTTCCGTCTTGTTTGCCAAGGAGATATGGTTGCTTTTCCTTCTTCAGTAGGCTTTCCCGCAGGTTCGGTTACAGATAGGATACGCGGGTCAAAGGGAAGGCTTGAGTTCAGAGACGAAGTTGGCTTTGAAGGGACAAACTTTCAGACAGTTCCTTACTTTCTATTCTCTAATCTCTCGCTTCCGACTCCTATATTGAAACTCTAAGGTACGAAACTATATATTTAGTCTCTGTCCCGGACTACACAAATTCCATAAACCCCGTGTTTTTTGATGCAAATTGTGTCAAGAGAGTAGTTTCCGCAAGATATTCCATAGGTGGATTTAAGCGGAAGATCTGCGTGATCTGATCTTTCTTGAGGACTAGTAACTGGTCCTGTAGCTAGAAGTCCCCATGAGCTCCCTCAATTCCTATTGAGATTGAGAAAGGGTCCATAGGCTTCTCTCTCAAGAACATAGGCTTCTCTCTCAAGAACATAGGCTTCTCTCTCAAGAAAGCGGGTCTTAGTGGGTAGTATAGTGCCGTTCAAGCGTACTCCCTGCGGGTAGGGTCTAATACCCCTTATTGGCATGAGGAACTGGGCTCCCAATTCTTCATCCTCCTTTTTGAGCTGTAAGACCAGGCAAGGGATCCCGCTTAGTGGGTTCGAGTTCAGTAACAGAACCTCCTAGCCTGCCCTTTTTTAATAGATATCTAGGGTTGTCGGCACCCTTCCTCTCCCTCTCCCTACCTTTGGTCGAGCTAGTAAACTTCCTCAACTGGAGAGGGAAGAATAAGCTGCAAAGCTCTGCTGGTGAATAGCAGATGATGCTCGATTAGGTATGCCAATCCGGCAGCTTGAAGGCGCGTGTCTGATGTTTCGGTAGGATGTTGCTATGTCCGCTTTCAGCCCGTAAATCGAAGGCTGTTCTTCCCATAAGGGGGATGACGTTATAGGGTTCAAATTAAAGAATCTTATAGGTGGAACTAGACATCGAATAAATATTCGTGCATCTCCTAATCGGCGTTTTCTCATCTGACTTTGCTTTGAATCTCCCCTTTGATCTAGGGCGCTTCACACGAGAACTACTAGAAAAGGGGAAACCCCAATCGCCAATCGCATCGACAAAACAACGCCTGGTTGAAATCAAGGATTAGAATCCGTTCGCGACTTGGTTTTTCAGTTCAGATAATAAAACTTTCAAAGGAGATTCTAGACTTGCAATCAATCCCTTTTCTTATTAGGCTGAAACCGAAAGCAAAAGACCTCTTGGTGTGGGGGCACCAGATCTCCACTTAAAATACTAGGAATTCTTAAACTGACTAGCAAATGTAGGGCTTCCCAGGGGTCTAGGAAGGGAAGCTACGAAGTCTTGGAGGTGGTATCCATGTTCATGAATATCTTATCGAATTTGCAGGTTTTCGTTCAAGAGCCGGTAACTGAGAGTGGCAGCCTGTAATCAATTTGGCGAGTACGGCAGATTGCTTTCTGTTTTTATAAGAAAGACTATCTTGCTTGGGGAAGCTCTTTCACTTCTAGAAGCCTATAAAGATGGATCCGCGCCTTTATGCCAGCGGGACAGATCTTGATGTATGGTACTATGTGAGGAAAAGTATGTGAACCTTGTTACCATACCAATCAATAGGCTGTCGAGAACGGGAAGAAGACTTCGGCGAAGAAGAGGTCGCTACCAGCAAGAAGAAAGATAAGCGGGCATAGGCTGCTTTTGACGTTGGTCTGGCGTAGCCAGTTGGCTAGTTGGTTTCTTAAGTCTGTTTACTCCGGATCGATCTCACGAGAAGAGCTCCCGACCTCCCATACCTCAGGTGATGCACTTATGGATCACTTGTACGGAACAGAATACGCCTCTTGCTCCTCCTAATGCATTCGTCTGTGTAGTTGATGTAGTCTGGTTATGAAAAGGAATCAGTCAGAAGGAAGGGCTCTGTAGAGCATGGGGAACGCTAGTTCAGGATTGCCATGGTTCGGAGGGTGGGTGACCCTACTCTGCCAGACAAGACGTGTACCGGTCGTACCCGAAAGTGAATAAGGCACTCTTTGTCGGTCGCTGGCTTTTATTAGAACCAATTGATGCAGATCGCTAACCTACAAATAAAGAGACCCGCTCCGATCATCCACACAGCTACCATTTGTTTGATATGGTTTACCCGATGATCCAGTATTGGCTCATTCGGAGGGTGCCAATTCCCGATTCCTATACGTCCTATGCGTCGAGTGAGGCAGTTACCGCAAGTGATGAATCAGCTGCTACCGTGGAATCCTCGCCCGGAAGCTCAAGCTCCCCCAATGCCTTTAATCGATTGTACCGGCTCTCTTTTCGTCGAATCGTAACCGGCGTCTCGTTGAATTGGACGTAGTAGCAGTAGGAGAAGACGAAGAACCATACCGGAGACTCGGGTAGCCAGATAAAGGTCACCTTATCTCTGTCTCGTCACCTACGTGATATAATAAAAGGCTAGCTGCAGCAATCACTGGAAGCCCACTTAGGCACGCAATTCAACCCTCAGCCCAAAAGGGAGCTGAAACTCATGATAGAAGCCCACTTTCGTTAGTGAATATTCGACATGTCAAAAGATGTTTGTTTTACCCCCTTCTTCCTTAGCACAAGCGCTAAGCGATAATAATACCTTGCAATGAACCGAAAGGTGAGAGGCAGGGCTCGGTCTCAAGGTTCAAAGTCACTAGAGAGTAATTAGTTTGATTGGCCAACTGCACGAGTGAAAGGCGAAAGTCAAGATTACGTGCAACCAGGTGTAACGTGTCAAAGGTCACCGAGTCGTCGGAAAGGGGAATAGGTTGTTTTGCGCATCCAACAACTGAAAGAGTTTGCGGAGAAGGGTTGAGTTGCGTAATAGCAGATTCGTAGGTCAATAAATCGTTGGATTTGAAATCGAACTCTCCACCTTAGCACAAGCGCTAAGCGATAATAATACCTTGGGCGGATAGGAATTGAGACTTTAAATGGTCCGCTCTTCTCTCCTCGTGATCGAAGCTGACCCCAGAAGTTGGGTATTCCTTCTTAAGAGGACACTAAACCTCCCGATCTTGCTAGCCGGGCTCAGTCTTTCAAGATTCAATCTTTCCCCTTCCCCCCTTACGTAATAGGGCCTGGTCCCAGGGAATCGCTCTTATAGTAGGAGGTTTACTATGTCCCCAACTTCTCTTTATTAAGAGACTCGGTTGTGTACTATAAAAGAAATGGATTGTACCACAAGCGCTGATCCCAAAGAAAGGAGTTGGCTCTTCCTTAGCACAAGCGTTAAGCGATAATAATACCTGCATCCATGCATAAAGAATTAGGTTGTAGGGTCCTCGAAGCCCGCCCGCCAAAGGGCTAAGTCGAGCGATTCCTCTGGGGATCTAGCTAGCTATAGTATCACACGATTCTTTCATCTTCTTTTCACATTCATTCTAGGTGGAAAATCGTCTACTTTAGAAGGCTAAGCTAAGGCTTTCCTCTTTGTGAGGAATTCCCTCCAGGTTGTCCGCTTTATCGGGGTCACTCTAAGTCCGAACGCAGGACATCTTATTCACGAATTCTTCACGAACCCCTTTTCTAAGAGAATCGGTTTTGTACCCTAAAAGGTGAGTTCTTTAAAAAGACCTGCATACTATCTTATAGAGGAATTCATTGGTTCATCTCCTGGTTCTACCTCTTGATTACCTACCCAATGGGGACGGGACATAGGCACTCTTCTCTTCACCCAGGGCTTTCTTTCGTTTGTGTCTATCTATCTATCTATTATAAAGTATTTTCCTATCCTCCACCCCCTTAGACATAGACAGGCATTCCGCTATCCCGATTGTCTTACTGATTCTCTTCGCCAAGAAGAAGAAATAACTTTCCCTAAAGAGTGAGTCTTTGTATGGGTACAAGGATGGATTGCTCTTTGCCCGAGGGAACTCTCAAGAGAAGGAGGAGCAGCACATATTATTGCAAACCAGTTCTATTAGAAAATGAGTTCTTTCCGGAAAAAGACCTGCGTACTATCTGATAGAGGCAGTCAGTGGGGAATCTCGTTGTTATGACTGTTGATTGCCTACCAATCGGAGTCTGAGTAAATATAAGGGTCCCGTTAATCCCGAAACGAAAGTCGAAGGAACCGCGGTAACCCCGCCAAATAAAGAAAATCAAAGGGGTCACGCCTTCAAGCCCGTTAACCTAACTCCGAATCGCCATTCCACGAGTGTTGCTCGGTAAACCCGAAAAGCTGGGTGGACTTCATAGCCCGGTCACTCCGATTGTCTTAGTGAACTGATTGTGTACCATACTAGGTGGTTCGCCTCTGATCCCTAAGCTGAGCTCCAAAGTCTGGATTTCTTCCTAAAGCGAAAGTCAGGACATTGCCCCCTTTATCCGGATCTGGCTTTCCTGGGTGGTCACGTCTCAATAGAAGTAGTAGCATCACATCTTATTCTACAACCTCTTTAGTAAGAGAATCGGTTGTGCTAGAATCAATGGCAGAGAATGCCCTCTTGTCGCAAGTGAGCAGACGATTTCTCCCTGACATCACAGAAGACGATTTTCGGCATATGGCTACTTCTATTCTTGGGCATCCCGCCTCAAATAGACTAGGCTCCTTCATTCATGCCTTCTCTTTATTATTAGTAAGCCCCTTCATGCCTTTTCTCGGTTACTCTTTCCGCTCTAAGACTAGTGGAAGAAGGGGCAAGAGTGGCTTCGCTCCTACACCTTCCTACACGAAGGGCTGCTCTTACTCTTAGGAGTTCTCTTTCCCTGTTGCTAGAGTTATTTCTTCTTAGTTCTTTCTCTCCTAGTTATTCTCCGAGGACTGCATTTAACCATCTATGAACTTCTAAGACTGATTCCTTTTTCTCTGATCTTTCATGCCTGACTCTTGAATTCTGTAACAAAAGAAAAGAGATAGGCGCCTAGATAATTAGTGGTTTAGCTGTATTGCTAAATCAGTACCTTCCCCCCTACCCTCTACTCTAGTATGCTATTGACTTCCTTCTGTGATCTGCCAACTGCAATACATAGTTCCAAGGGAATGAAGATAGGACGTTGTGCGGTAACTAGAAGTGAGTATACTAAACCTTCACGCCTGCGACTTTTATTGATATTGATGAATGCGGGGTAAGGACTCTTATTAGATAGATGTGGGCTAAGGACTGTGTTGACTGAAGCTTTCGACATCCCGGAAGGACAAGGGGAGCATCGAGAGGTTGAATCCATAGTAAATAAGATGGCATAGACATAGAATGGGATTTTTGGACAAATGCCAAATGCCACATAAGAAGCTTTTATTGACCTTTTTTGCCTTTCCTCCGTCTTCGTCACCTGATGACTTTCCTGCTTTACTTTGTCGGCTTTGGTAGGGTGGTAGCATGTCCTTTAGCAAGGCTAGGCACCTTCCTTAAAGGAGGCAGCATCCGATCTTTAGCATCCTAGCCAGGGAAATCCCCAAATCGCGAGTCCGGGGCATATACTTTTTCTTTATCCCCCAGAGAATCCGACAAGAAAGAAGATAAAATAAAGTACATATATATGGGCAAGATCCATATTCCATTTCTAACAGTTCCTTACTTTCTATTCTCTAATCTCGTATGGCAGCTTTCAGTCTCATCTTCAGTTTCGGGACATTGTTCCTATGCCTCTTTGAAGTGAAGCCCTTATATCGAATGATTCAAGACATTTGATTTTATAATAGAAATGAGAGGACAGCCGAATTGACAGAAAATAGTCTGAACTTGTTGATCAACTCTCTTTGTTGAAGGTCCTACCTTAACAGTCGATCATGCGCTCACACTCGATCATGCGACAGTCGATCTGTCCATCCGACTACATTCACTGGGGGGTGAGGTTGTCCAATTTCAATTATGTGCCGCTCGTTGACATCTAGTTTCCATTGCCGGTGTGAGAGATCTTCCTTCGGTTCTAGTCAAGTATGGCAGCTTGAGGTCTCCTATTTCACTTTCACCAGCCATTGGGAACTCAAATAAACTTTCATTTAACGGCAGGCGAGAAAGGTTCTGAAAGAAAGAAAGGTAGAAGGGGGGTTTGCTCCCGTTTCGGGGTTCTCTTGTGGACTGGCTGTTGACTGGCCTTTGCCTGGGGAGAAAACCGGTGCTTTTAGCTTAAACGGATTTTAACTGGATCGGAGCCTTTCGGAAATCCTCCCTTTTTGGCTTCACTTGAGCGGTTGACGCAATCCAAGAGGAAGAGGAAGCTAAACCCGTGCTGACGAATAACCAAACCCCTTAATTCGTCGAGTAAAGTAAATAGGGAAGGTATAGGTTTGCTATGAATGACCCAGTATCGAATACAGGTAATAATATCAGCAAAAGAACGTTCTCCCGTGCTTCCAGACATGCTGAGCTCCACATATTCATGTACAGAAAAAGCGGGGGGTCGATTCTGTGAAAGATAGGATCAGTAAATGGAAATTCACTGAGATTTAATTTAAGTGAGATTTTCAATAGTGGTACCGAGGGTGTCTTTAGAGTATACCGAATCAGTATAGCTATCCTTCTTCTCTTCTGACACAGCAACGAAATTTCAATCAGTATAGAAAAGAAGTGATACAATATTTCTTTCTTCCTTAGCGCAAGCACTAAGTAAGCAAGCTACCTCTATCTTCTTTAGTCAATTCTAATTGTTCACTCTTAGTTGACCGTTCCGCTGGGGCTTCCTCTTTGAGTGGAAGCCCTGCGCTGCACCCCAGTGTTGAATTTCTTGATCGACGAAACGAGTTATTGCCTTTAAGGGTTCTTGCCCGAGATGAGTTATTGCCATTTCATTTTTACGGGGGAAAGGAACAGACTTTAGTTGACGGAAAGGAAATGTATATTGATACGTTCAATCTCGTCCCAACATAGCCCCCAGCCCTCTCCTTACGATGATTCCAAATCCAGGATAGGAATCAAAAGTTATTCCATGTATGCCTATGATGTAGCACCAGGCGGATTGTTAGCTAGTGTGTATCATCTTACGAGAATACAGTATGGTGTGGATCAACCGGAATAGGTATGCAAATAAGTCTTTGCCAAAGGGAGGAATCAAATCCTAGAATCCCATCTGTTTTCTGGATTTTGAAAAGTGAAGATTTTCAAGAACGGAAATCTTTTGATATGTTGGGAATCTCTTATGAGTTTCATCCACGCCCGAAACGTATCTTGATGCCTGAAAGTTGGATCGGTTGGTTTTTTATTCTATTGCCCCAATTTCTATGAAATAAAGGATGCTCATTGAATGAATCTTAACTTATACGACTCCAGATATTCTATAAGATTATTACGTTCTGTTTTCGATGAAACAGAGTAACTGGACTCTCGCTCGTATTCTATTCTGGAATAAAAAAGGGCTTCATTTATATTCCTAAATCTGGAAGATATCATATCTATTTGGGATGAGCAGAGCCGATTTCACTTTAGTAGAGACTTGGTTCGGTATCTTTAATGGCGAGGGAGAGTTAGACTCCGTTTCAAAAGAAAGGGGATTCTCACATAATGACGATCAAGTACCAGTTGAGGAATATAGATAAGAATAAATTGGGCCAACCCGCGAGCAAGTTGGAGAAAGCGCTTGATGAGCCCCTCCAAAAAGTAGAGTAGTTCCGGTGCAACCACATATATCCTACAGAAAAGTTTTGCTGTTTCAATGAGTCGGTACCCGATGTTTCGACCAAGGAACAAACAACCGGAAAAAACCATTCCCTGCAAAAGGGATGGGACCCCCGACCGCGCTTATGACTCGTCCGTATCGTCTCTCATGCCGTATCCATTCTCGTTTAGGTCGACCGCTCTACGATGGCTAAGCTTTTTTCGAGAGAGGCAGACTTGGACTTGACTGACAAAGGTTTCCGAATTCTAATTATTAATGCCATAGTTATACTCCCGCCGCATTGATATTCTTTGAACAGCGGTTGCGCTTTGAAATCAAGGTAGTTGTTTACTTGCTCAACCATAATACCAGGGCCCTATCAATGACAGGTAAACTGTGCTATAAAGTACTAGAATATCATCCCGTATGGCTTTCTCCTCTCTCTTATCTTCGATCAAGCTACTTCGTTCCTTCTGTGATGAGAAATTCCCTAACGAAAGCTAGCCTTCTTCCATCGGATGCATTATCTAAAGGGCAGAGGTTGGGTAAACATGCTACAGATTCCGTAGTTCCATTATTGGATTAGCTTACATTACCAAAGGTTAGAGGAAATGTCGTAGATCTCAGTTGAGAGACTGAATGCGGATTTTTTTTTAAGAATTTAAAAGGAAAAGAAAGACTTCGTCCCACTCTCGGATAATGAAATCACCAAATGCTGCTCGACGAGCCTCTCCCTGAAGAAAAAGACACTCCGGCCTAACATAACAGCACTTTCCTTACCCGTTGTGCTCTGTCTGAGATAAGGAGCAAAAGGCTAGACGGAAGACCTCTAATCTACCAATCAATCTAGCTAGCATCCTATGATTTTTGTTCCAGAGGCCAATAACCCGAAAGTAAGTATTTACATCTCCTGCCAGGTGTAAGATAGAGGTTTAAAGCTCTCTTGGCAGCCTCTACGCTACGCCCGGTTCACTCTTTTCATAAGGGCTTTACCCGCTCAACCATCAGAAGGGGGCTTTTCCCATCATGCCATGGAGTGAGTAACTAGCTCGGCTAACCACTAAGTCGCTCATGCACAAATTCTTACAAAAAGGGGAGCCCCGCGAAGGGTGGAGATGAATCTATATCTGTCAATCACAAAGCCAAGACATCCCCCAAACGTAGATTGTAACAACCAACGAATTTCTTTTCTATTCCTGTCTGGTCTAACCAATTCTCGAGGTTTAATGGCCTTTGGCTGCCTCCTCTTCCTTGCCAGTTGAGCTACTTCCACTCCTCTTCCTTGCCAGTTGAGCTACTTCCACTCCTCTTCCAATTTGAGTTTCCTCCTCTGTTTAGTTTGAAACTGAAAGGCATAGAAGCTCTCTAGAGAGCTACCGTATCCATGAGGGGCAAGCCAATGCTTTAGAGCTCTTTAGCTGCCTCTGCACGAATTCTTCTTCCGGTTGGAAAACTATACCTCTTCTTTCGTCTTGCGATTGGATGAACCAGCAAGTGTTTTTCATGCATTGACCTCGGTATCGTAAACACATATCTACTGCTTGCTGCCCTTGAAAGTCCCAAAACAGCCTATTTTAGACCCTAATTTAACGTTGCGCCGAGAGTTATCGTTAAATCCAATGGCAAGAGCCCTAACCTCGGCTGCTGCCCCGGGCTGTCATATGTTGGGATCGCCTGCCCGAAGGGCCTAGATCTGAGTCTCCTATTCTGTTTCTGTTTTAGAGAGATAAACCCCCTTTACTTTACTAAGTCTGGTGCCTCTGTTCCTTGGGCCCTATCATCAATAGTAAGCTAATCCAATTATGCATGTGTTCCACAGCTCTCATTTGAATCATTTGCCCGGAAAAGAGCTAGATCTTAAAAGTCCCGCATATACCGCTTCGAAAGGAAAGATAGGAACAGGTTTAGTTGAGGCAGAAACTCTGGTTGCTTTGAGCTCCCTCATTGGGATCAAACCGACCGGCAGAGAGCGAACAGCCTACTTTAAGTAGTTCTATTGCTGGTAAGCTTAGCCGCCTGAACACGACGAGACTCTCTTTAACATATGATGTCGTCGGAGAAGTTTCTAGACTTCTTTGCCTTTGGCTTCTTCCGGTATGATGGAATTGACTAGGGTTCACCAGAAATAATTAAATAGCTAGATAAATACAAGAGCCATTCCGTCACTACAGAATCTGTGAGAAGTGGAAGTATAGTTTTTGTTTATCCTGGCGACCTAGCACCAGTGCATTCGAGAAATTTCAAGTCACATCCCTTGGTGGGAAAGAGCAGCGGCATCCTCAAGCTAAGCTATGTCATCCACAGGTCATGGAAATCAGGAGTTTCGCGCGTTGTTCCATCTCGAATTGAAGCTCGGTGTGCTCGCCGGTCGGTAACTCTTATTCGAACTGCCACGGTTAGGTCTCACAAAGACCTTGCCTCGTCAACAGTACTTGCTTACTTATGAAAGCCGCTTTCAATATAGCAAATTCTGCGCATTGCTCAGGGGATTTAATAAAGATCAGTCCAGGCGGAGGAAGTTTGATATTGGCATGTGTCTGGTAGCATTTTGAACCATATCTAGTTAATTAGTAGGAATTTTTTTATGGAAGCATACGAAAACATAAGAATTTGAACTCCTATCCGAGCTGCTGGGGCCTTGATCATGCCAGAGTTGGAATGCCGAACACCCGCTCTTCTTGATTTAAACCCGATTAGGTTGCCCGCTCTCTCTATGGATAGGAAGATCCGGAGAAAGCGGCAGTGGAAGCAACGAAAAGAGCTCCGTTCCTCGCCCAGACACTCCAATTCTTTTGGTCGGGCTACTCCGTTCAAACCATCAATCGGCGGTTCCTTACTAAGAGATTAAACCGGAATGAGATATTATCTCTGTTGGCTTCGCTTCGTGGACAAATAGGAATGGTACTTGACCGCCTATTCTTAAATAAAAATGGAAAATACTAAGACTAATACAAGGCTGGTTCCAAAGCAGATTCATTCAAAGCCGGTTCATCCAATCACAAAGCAAAAGAAGGAGGAGGTTACCCGCCGACTGAAAGGAGAGGGGACGGGGGTTGACCCGCAGTAGTAGTTGAGTTGTCGGAGCGTCTATACGGGCCTTCGATTGGGGTGAAGCTAAAACGGAGTTCCTTTCTTCTTTGTCCGCTTCAGTTGGAGGTGAGTCTTTTTCTGATGGTTATTCCTCCTAATCTACGATGTACGCACCGCGGCGGTCTCAAGATCTTTCTTTATCTTTATTCTGGTTTTGTTTTCCCCCGAGCGCATCTTCCTTTTTGAATGAGCAAAGGTGTGGGCCTAGGTTTAGTAAAGAGTAAGGGACATATCGACGAACTGCGGATTAGCTCTTTCTGTTGTACGCTGCTGCTGTTTGATACATTTAGGTGGAGCAGGTAAACTCCCTCGGGGCGTTTCGCCAAGCCCTTTGACACCTTCTTTCTGGTCTATCCTCTGACGATATTTTATGATTCGACGGAGGCCCTCCCTCAGGCATGGTAAGCAAGTAGACTACTTTGGCCCTATCAACTTAGTTTGCGCCGCGTAGATATCTAGCATCTGGACGAGCAGCCACCGTTTCGGATCAAAAAGTAAAGAGGGCGCCGCCCGATTCTTTCTTTTCTAGTCCCTCCACCGAACCAGATCTACTAAAGACTTCAACGGTTTCTTTTTTTTTTTTGGTACCGGTGTTGGAATTTCGTGGATAAGTCGTGACAGAGCCGATGAATCCAATTATGAAAGCAAGGCTCCCGCTAAATAAAATTTTGAAAGTATCGCGGTTAGTTCTTCCGAAAGGAGGTGGGGCGAGAAGCCCGTCTTAGTCTGTATAAATGGTGAAACGGGCGCAAAGGAACGTAGCGAAGCGGAGTAGCTCGATAGACGAACGCGGCTTACCCCACTCAGCCGAAAAGCGAGGGTCCGGAGGAGAACTACCTTTTTTCTTACGATTGGCATTATCAGGTACTCCCCCAGCAGTTTTGCCGAAGCAGCGATATACTTCATTTCTTTGTCCTTCAACTAAAACTAATCCAATGGAACTAGGAAATTCATAGGAAAGCCCTCAAAAGATCGGATAAGGCAGCTCATATAGTTCTTGTCTTTCTATCTCCATTTTTCAACCACAGGACCCGAGATTTCCGTCTCATAAGAGACTCCTCCGCGTCAAGCATTGCATTAAGTTCATATAGTTTTCGAGTTTAATCCATCGCTGCTTGCTCATTTCCTTGGTCCTTCGCAAGAATGGTTTCTCGTACAGCTCATCCTTAAGGACGTTGATTCTTTCAGCTATTTTGCCAAAGGTGGTAACGTTCTAACCTTTCAGCGCCTCTTTGACCGCTTTAAGCTTTTGGACACTTGGAACATGGGGTTGCCCTCAACTCGGATATTCCACGCTTGCTTCACAGTTCGGAGAAAGGGGGGATGATTAGACTGCGCATTAATAAACCTTTAAGGTTTATGGCTGTGCTGCACTGAGTGATTCAACTGAATAATGCCTGGGGCATGGTCAGATAGTCCATTAGTACCAGTAATAACTCTAGCTTCGGAGAAGAGAGTAACAATCTCACGGTTAACCAGAATTCTGTCTAACTTGCAAGCTATTCTTCTTCGGCCTTCGAAAACTAAGAGTTTGGTTGAAACTATTGTTGATAGATATCACACGCTTTTTATTGTTATATATATATATATAACGTTATAAGTATAACTAACTGAAAGCGTCCGTTCACGTCAGGAATAGAGGTTGTTGATGTAGTTGCTTGTAGTTTTCTTTGATTTTTCTCGAGTTGGTGCATATTGCATATATAGGCTCCGGAGAGAGAATCAATGTTCGGTAGTACGCCTGGTTCGCCAGGTTCTACCACTGCAGGGCCCAATCATACTCAAAAGAAGAGTATGATCTTGGCTCAGAAGGAACGCTAGCTATATGCTTAACACATGCAAGTAGAATACGGCCGTGCTTGCTCGATCAGTGGAGTGAATGGACTCCACGGGTGAGAGACCAAAAAGGAGCAGCGGGTTAAAGTCTTCGCTCGCTTTCCAACCACCGAAAAATGGACTTCAAAAAAAAAGAGGGAGAATACCTTTGCCTGACATAACTACAAACAAGCAACGGATGAGTGCCCTAGCGCGAAATGGAAATCGAAAAAGAAAAGATTTAACGGCTCCTTTGCGGGATGGGAAGCATCCCCCCTCCCCCCTTCAAGTAGACAATTCGAGATCCCCCTTGCTTAATTCACTCAATTAGCAATTTAAATTGGAATTGGAATATTCCCCCGCTCGAAAGAGTTCGCTCATCATCCTTTCCCTCGCCAAATACGGGGGACATGTTACCATGTATCCAAACGGAGAAGCAGAAGCAGAAGAATAGGATTGAGATTGCCAAAGACCTTTTGGGGGAAGTCAAAAACAGTAGCAGTTGGGGACGCCTAGTCCATCATACTATAGTGGTCTTACATACAGCTAGTGTCGGCAGGAATGGAACAGAAATCTCGTATATGAAAAATTTTTAGTATATATAGCGGAGTAGCTTTCTTTGTTTGAAGGCTTCAAGTGAGAGAGAGGATAGGATCAAACCATCGCATCACCAAAAGGTGCTCGGGTGTACCTTAGAGCAACGAAAACGAAGACTTTCGAGAACAAATATTGGACCGGGAATCAAAAGGGGTAAAGTAAAGTAAAAGCGCATATGGCACGAAAAGGAAATCCGATGTCGGTAAGACTTGATCTGAATCGTAGTTCAGATTCAAGTCGGTTCAGTGAGGGCGACCGCGAAAGTCACCGAATGGGTCAGTCTTTTCCTTCAGTTTGTCCTATATTAAAAAAAAGCGTGGGAGGACATTGCAGATGTCCGGGACGGACACGACTTCTTCTAACGCTAGAAGACCACTGGAAGACACCCGGGACCAGAGCATGTCGTGAAAGAAGCACACTGGGCGGGCGTGCTTCGACCGTGTCTCCGGGGCACAGTTGAATGTAGATATCATGAATGCGAGGTGCAGGAGACCAGGCCGAGAAACCCGGGCAACCACTCCCCTATGTGCCGATCGCTAGCGCATCCAGGGCCCCGGCGCCCAGCTCGGCCGGAGAGGCCTAGCCTGATCTGAGAAGTGCTAATTCGGTTCGGATAGACTTCATTCAAGAACGCCGCCGCCCCTGGAATCAATAAGAAAACAAGTGCAAAGTTTCAGATCAGTGAATAAATCGAAACGAAAGAAGAGACGTTTCTCGCTCGGCGCCTAAAGCGCACTATGCTCCGCTTCAACAAATGAGAGTTTTCGGTGGAACCGGTGAACCACGCGAGCTGGTTAGATGCGCGGGACAGAGGGCTCGTAGTACCTGCTAGCGCAGCTATGCTCTGTAAGGGAAGGAGCCTAAATCGAACCCCTTCTTTCTTTTTTTTTCTTTGAAAAAAAGCAGTACAAAGAGATTCTCGGATGAGACTAAGCAGCCACCGACCGTTCTGACGCGCCCCTGACCTATCTTGATTAAGACCGAAAACTCTCTAAAATGGAGCCTGGTTTAAGCTGTCAAACAAATGATAGAATAGAAAAAAAAAGAACCACTAGTAGGGATATGGATGGAGTCTCGCTCAGTAAAGAGAGTTGTAGATTAGTAGAAAAGGAGAAGAGCCTTTACTTGATATATTATATATAAGTATTAGTAAAGCGCTAACGCTGCCATTTTTCTAAAGCAACAAGCGCGAAACTTTACTTTTTGAGAAAGAAGGTGCTTGTTGCCGCTTTATTAGTAAGTAAGCTTGTTTTATATCATATCAATAAAGGCGAAAGGTTGCTTTACCAAATAATATAAGGCGCGTTAGCGCTTTAGAAGGACATTTAGGCTTTACTAATAGAATATATAGGGCGTTTTTTTTCACGCAGGTTTGGAACCCGGGGCGTTTCCTTTCAAATGACAACAGCCTCTTCCTGCTGCGAGGGCGCTGCGCGAAACCAAACCGCCCCCCCCCCGCCCGATCAAGTACCAGTTGCTTTGCCGGCGGGCCCACTTAGGTTAGGGGGGCATTGTCCCTCAGTTCTTACCAACCTCCGGTGTGTAATCGACATGTTGCTAGCTTCAACTCGGTTGAATAAGAATCATTGATTCCCTATGCTGTCCATTTCTTATTCATTCAGGGCGCTCGGCCGGTGCTCCTTTAAAAAACCAAAACCACTCTGAACGTAAGGGAAGATAAGGGAAGACCGCCTGAGCGAACCGACCGAAAGGACTTTTGACTTATTTGAACCGAACGATAGCGGCTTAAAGCTAAGCCTATCACGAGCAGCGTCGCTGCTTGATCGGCGGGGAGGAGCATCTCAAAGTATGGGGCAAAGGATCAAGCGCTTTGACTTTGCCCCCCGGGATCCACCACGGGTTGGGTTTGAGAGCCGTGTGATGGGTGACTATCCTGCACGGTTCGGGGAGCACTTTTTGTCTGCGTTGGTGAATGGAAGCCCCCACTATCAAGCAAGAAAGAAGCGGCTCTTCCCACGGCGGAGTCCCCATTGACTCTATTTATTATTATGGTAAATCAGTGTATCAAGATGTCAATCTGAGATCTTATTTCGGTTCAATACGTCCACCTACGAGACTGACCTTTGGCTTTCGTCTCGGTACGTGTATTATAATAAATTTTCCCAAAAGAACATTCATTCATTTCTTTCTTCCCCGTCGACCACGACGACTGAAACGACACGAAAAATCCAGACCCGGAAAGGAGAAGGGCCGGTGGTGGGCATTTGGGAAAGTCGGGCCGATCGGGTGTCTTCATTCAAGCGACGATACAGAAGAAGAACGAAACGAAGTGAGAGGCCGGGGGGCAGGGAAAAGAGTCGAGTCGATCAGGCTCGACGACCGGGAGAAGCAAAACGAAATTAGGATTTGGCCGAAAAAGAAGCAACGCTATGGATACCATGACCGATCACCATCGATAAAGAAGAATCTTTCTAAATCACTTCGGGTCAGCAGGGCCTTCAAGCATCCGAAATACGCCGGGGTTGTAAATGACATAGCGTTCCTGATAGAAAATGACGACTCCTTCAGAAAAACTAAGTTATTCAAGTTCTTTTTGCCAAAGAAGTCCCGCTCCGACGGCCCGACGAGGCATCTACTTAAAAGGACCCTCCCTGCAGTGCGCCCCTCCTTCAATTATTTGGTCATGCAATACTTATTGAATACAAAGAACCAAATGAATTTCGACCCCGTCGTAGTTCTCAATCATTTCGTGGCACCGGGCGTGGCTGAACCATCTACGATGGGGGGAGCGAATGCACAGGGAAGAAGCTTAGATAAGAGAATACGTTCTCGCATCGCTTTTTTTGTAGAAAGCTCGACCAGCGAGAAAAAGTGTTTGGCCGAAGCCAAAAAGAGGTTGACCCGCTTCATCCGCCAAGCGAATGATCTTCGCTTCTCGGGAACAACAAAAACCACCATCTCGCTCTTTCCTTTTTTCGGTGCTACCTTTTTCTTTCCAAGGGATGGGATTGGGATGTATAATAACCTTTTTTTGAGGATGCCCGGGAACAACTCCTAGGTCAATTAAGGATCAAATGTTGGAACCTCATGGGTAAGGATAAGGTAATGGAATTGATAGAGAAATTCATAGACCTAGGTAGGATAGGAGAATTGATAAGGGGAATAGAGATGATGATAGAGATCATACTGAGAAACAGAAGAATTCCGTACGGGTACAACTCTTATTTGAACGAAGTGAAAAAAATGCGATCTTTGTTGTCTAATAGAACAAACACTAATACCTTAATTGAGTCGGTCAAGATCAAATCTGTTTATCAAAGTGCTTCTCCGATTGCTCAAGACATCTCTTTTCAACTGAGAAACAAAACAAGATCATTTCGTTCCATTTTTAGTAAAATAGTGAAGGATATTCCATTAGTAATGAAAAAAGGGGTTGAGGGGATCCGTATATGTTGTTCAGGTCGATCAAAAGGCGCAGAAATTGCTAGAACTGAATGCGGAAAGTATGGAAAAATATCTCGTAATGTATTTAACCAGAAAATAGATTATGCTCCTGCGGAAGTATCTACCCGTTACGGAATCTTAGGTGTCAAAGTGTGGATTTCATATTGTTAAAAAAGAAGGGGGGCATGCTTTTTCTAGAATGGCTATTCTTCACTTCGGGCCCGGTGGAACTTGTTCCAAACGAGCCCTCTTCGGGCGAATTCATTTTTTCTGCCGTTTCCTTAGCGTTTCACACTAAGCAAGTAAACTACCTTTTTTTTTCATTTTTTATAGTTGCCTCTGCGGTTATCCTACGTATGAAAAGGGATCCCGTTTTGATTGCTCTTTTTCGTTCCCGCCCTCTCACAATGCGGCCCTTTTTCTTTGCAATAGCGTTTTTATTAATAATCTGTGTAAACATCCAAATAGCCGCCTGCGACGGGGGAATTCCTTCTCCCGTGCCAAATTTACATCCGGAGGTTCCCCCCGACACCGGTGTTCCCCAAGGGGCACCGGTGCAGATTCCTGTCCCACCTGAAATTCCCCAACTAGAAGAGCCTTTAATGTCCGTGGAGGATAGGTGGAAGGAACTTCAGCTACGGTTAAGTTTGTATTTCCTCGGGAGAAACAGTTGGTCGGACGTCGGGCCATTCGTGAGAATCCTGGAGAGGCAGGTGCCTATAGAAACAAAGATAGAAGCTGCATTGGTGGACGATGGATATAATCGGGAGGATATCCATCAAAAGAGGTTCGAAATAAGGGGAATCCTCTTTAACCGTGGGGTGAACGCGCTTTCTGAACGTACCTTAGATGAGTATTTGGACCAAATCGAAAGAAATGGCACTCGGCAGAGCACTCCCTATAGAAACGTAAGTAGGGCTATCCAGAATTTGGATCTAATTCTGTGACTCCTTCTTTCTCCCATGCTTTCCGTTGGTCAACAACCAACCACAGCTCTCTATAGTTCTTCACTACTCGTACAGGAAGGTAAGAACCACTTTTTTTCTGGAGGGAATCATTTTTTCTCAATCAAGAATGCCTCAACTGGATAAATTCACTTATTTCACACAATTCTTCTGGTCATGCCTTTTCCTCTTTACTTTCTATATTCCCATATGCAATGATGGAGATGGAGTACTTGGGATCAGCAGAATTCTAAAACTACGGAACCAACTGGTTTCACACCGGGGGAACAACATCCGGAGCAACGACCCCAACAGTTTGGAAGATATCTTGAGAAAATGTTTTAGCACCGGTGTGTCCTATATGTACTCTAGTTTATTCGAAGTATCCCAATGGTGTAACGCCGTCGACTTATTGGGAAAAAGGAGGAAAATCACTTTGATCTCTTGTTTCGGAGAAATAAGTGGCTCACGAGGAATGGAAAGAAACATATTAGATTTGATCTCGAAGTCCTCATATAGCACTTCTTCCAATCCTGGATGGGTGATCACTTGTAGGAATGACATAATGCTAATCCATGTTCCACACGGCCAAGGAAGCATCTTTTTTTAATCTCATTATTACTTGGTCGTTAGGAAGAGATTCTTTCTCGATCTGAATAGTGGAATGGAAGGCACTACAAGAAAGATATACCCCTTTTCAAATCGCCCCGCGAAGACGGACGTTCAGAAAGGTTATCGAGATTATCAATCTTTTTAGTGGGGAGGAATAGTGCGGGAAGGGAGCGAGACCAAGCCGAGCCACTAGGAGAGTAAGGACTTCCCACGTGTCAAAATGAATGCAGCCTCAACCAGAGAGATCAACCTGCGCCTTTGATTTTAGGACGCCGGCGGCGCAGAACGCACTAATCCGCGACCAGCTAGTTTTCCGAAACCGAACTGAATAGAATTGTGACTTTCCAAAAATGCTTGCTGAAAATCAAAGAAAGAAGGTCCATTTTCCCACGTAGTTCGTCGGTCAAACCAACGATTCTCTTCTCAAAGTAATAGAGAGATCTTTTTCTAGTTAGACTTCTATCAATGCAATGAAAGAACCATCCCTTCCTATTTGTTTGTCCTGTCAGATAGAAAAAAGAAATTAGAAGCCCCTCTTTACCACTTTAGGGGGTGGGGGTGAAGGGGGGGTTTACATACAACCGAGGCTAAGTGGTTTATGATTGAATCTCAGAGGCATTCTTATCATTTGGTAGATCCAAGTCCATGGCCTATTTCGGGTTCACTCGGAGCTTTGGCAACCACCGTAGGAGGTGTGATGTACATGCACCCATTTCAAGGGGGTGCAACACTTCTCAGTTTGGGCCTCATATTTATCCTATATACCATGTTCGTATGGTGGCGCGATGTTCTACGTGAATCCACGTTGGAAGGACATCATACCAAAGTTGTACAATTAGGACTTCGATATGGTTTTATTCCGTTCATCGTATCGGAGGTTATGTTCCTTTTTGCTTTTTTTCGGGCTTCTTCTCATTCTTCTTTGGCACCTACGGTAGAGATCGGAGGTATTTGGCCCCCAAAAGGGATTTGGGTTTTAGATCCTCGGGAAATCCCTTTTCTTAATACCCCTATTCTCCTTTCATCCGGAGCTGCCGTAACTTGGGCTCATCATGCTATACTCGCGGGGAAGGAAAAACGAGCTGTTTACGCTTTAGTAGCTACCGTTTCGCTGGCTCTAGTATTCACTGGCTTTCAAGGAATGGAATATTATCAAGCACCCTTCACTATTTCGGACTGTATTTATGGTTCTACCTTTTTCTTAGCAACTGGCTTTCATGGTTTTCATGTGATTATAGGTACTCTTTTCTTGATCATATGTGGTATTCGCCAATATCTTGGTCATCTGACCAAGGAGCATCACGTTGGCTTTGAAGCAGCTGCATGGTACTGGCATTTTGTAGACGTGGTTCGGTTATTCCCATTTGTCTCTATCTATTGGTGGGGAGGTATATGAAGAAACGAAACAGTGGATTGAGGAATGAAAGCTCGAAGACAAAGAGAATCGGGCTTTTCCAAAGAATTACTGCAGCTTTCCCACTCCCTTTGATTTTCATATACAAAAAAGTCTCTTCCACTTTCCTACCAAATCTCTCTTTATTCTGGCACATAAATGAAGGGATCGAAGAGATTGTGGCAGATCATGTTCACCAAGAAATGACCCGAAATTTTATCTTGGTCTATTTGAGATTGTTCCTTTTAATCGTAATCAAAGATGTTTTCTTGTCTCTCGTTTCTTTTCCGAACAAATCGAAGAACCTAATGGATCGAACTCGTCCTTAATACGAAGTCCTCTTCTTTACTTTTTATTTTGACTTGGTTGGCAGGGGATCTAAGCGATCACGAGCGCGTCCGATTCAAAAGTTATTTCACAAATTATTTATCCACAGCCCGCTCCGCTGCTGAAGGGATAGAGATAAGCTTTCATAATGAGATTTACTTCCACGAATATGCATGCTAGAAAGATGCTATTTGCTGCTATTCCATCTATTTGTGCATTAAGTTCGAAGAAGATCTCAATCTATAATGAAGAAATGATAGTAGCTCGTTGTTTTATAGGCTTTATCATATTGAGTCGTAAGAGTTTAGGCAATACTTTCAAAGTGACTCTCGACGGTAGAATCCAGGCTATTCAGGAAGAATCGCAGCTAAAGAGGAAGAAAAGAGCACTTTTCATCAAATTGACTTTCTTTTTGATGTTAGTTGTACTTTTCTTTCTCTTTAGCTGGTGGGCCCAGGAGTGGGAGTTCTTTGGGATGGTATCCACACGAGTAGGGCGGGCTCTTTTTATTAAAGGTGTAAGCTCCTTAATGCCCGAAGTGTGGATAAGTTGCGGAGCCAGTTTCGTTGCTTCGGCGCTAGGTGGGGCTCTTATCTCTTGCATGGAGGGGGGAGTACCTCTTCCGGCCGGGACGTCTGGCGCAGGAAGCTCCGGCGCAGGGGGGATGGGAGAACTCACTGGCATGAATGCCCCTGCTTCATCGAGTGGGATACGACCCCCATTTGATCTTAACATGGCTCCGGACCCGGAGCCGGAACCTTCCTCTTCACCCGGCCTCAAAAATAGAATTATCGAGGCGGAGTTAGAAGAGGCCCAGAAAGAACTTCGCTTCTGGGAAGAGAAAGGAAGGCACTATTTTAAGGAGGAGGCCCGCCTCTATCGTGCCGGGCTGGAGGGAGAGAAGATGGAAAAAGAATTCTATTCTCTCGAAAGAAGGGTCGAGAATCTCCGCCTGGAGCATAGGCGGCTGCTTTCACTAATCGCATCGCGTCGGGGCTAGCGCGCTTTTCAAGCGCTTAGCTTCGGGGCGGCAAGGCGTTCCGTTGGAAGCCTAGGCGTACGGTGGAGATTGGTTGAAGATGATGTTACGCGGCGTTCAGAACCAGCCTTGAAGTGAATGAATTAGAAAGAACGAAGGACAATTATGCCATTAGGAAGAAGTCTTCTACAGAGGGAAAGCCTGTTACGAGTAAGTGGAGAGGAAAGCTCTCCAGAGATTCTTATCTCATTCCATTCCAGTGGCTCGACCAGTAACCAATGGCGAAAACTAAAAAATCCATGGTTTCCCGGTAGAACCCCATTTCGCCCAAGTTGTTGCGAAACCGGAAAAAAGAAGCGGTTTTTCGCACAGCTTGCTCATAGTGCAGGTCCCACTTGTATATCGTATTTGGCCGAAGAAGCATCGGACAGGTTGGAGTTCTTACCTTCTTGGGACTCCGTGGACCAAGATCTGCTTTCATTATATGGGCAATACCGATCTACTTTAGTAGATCATATGGATGTAGAAAAAGCTTATGATTTTGATGAAATGGAAACATCTCTTTTCCATTTCTATTTCCCTAGTTCATATCTTTGTTTCGTGTGTTCCCGGGAGTAATTCGATCTCTTCAATCTCGGGATACCACCTAAATAACTGCGGCCAGAGAGTAAAATAGGTCGGGAAGAAAGAGTCTGAGGTTGGGTCGGACGACATACATCTTGGAAGGAAGGTTCATTCTTTAAATCCGATGGTTACTTTTGTTCCACTGCTATCGAAAAGCTTGGACATAGTGCAACAAGAAGAGAATTAGCAGAATAGGATAAAGAATTTTCCTTCAAAAGAAGGGCAGTGTGAAAGGAATAGCGTTGAATCTTGAGAATGAGAATGTACGTAGTAAGTATTACCATTCTCCGGGGCGAAAGTTGTTCTTCTCCTCGGGGCTTTACTTGTATATTTATTACGAAAAGTTGCCGGAAGCGGAAGAGTTTGCCAGGATGGCTTGGTAAGCAAGCAACCAGTTATGTAGGCGCCAACTCCCGGTTCTTTCTCTTCTTTCTTTTTTTTTGTCCTATACGTCTGATCCCCTTTCCGGGGAAGGGGGAACATAGACGGAGGCACATGTAGACAGATACATACTTAGTCAATCTTTTGCCTAAGCGAAGTAGTAGTTGATCCCGTAGAGGCAAGGGTGAATCGAGACCGAAAGCTACTAATAGAATAGCATAATCTGAGCACATAGTCTAAGTAGCAACTGTTAAAGCTCCCTGGTCTCGCAACGGCCGGCTAAAGTTTCCCTGGGCTTGGGCTTGAATGCCGGTGTTTTGCTAGAGAGAGGCCAAAGTAGGGCAGAGCAGGACTTCGTTCACGCCGTGAAAGGCAGGCGTTTTTCATGGCGAGTCACCTGTGGTGGCTTCTGTGAAAAGCAGAAGGGGAGTGGTGAGGCGGGGCTCTTCACTCAATATCTGTAAGAGAGGTTGTATGAGGACTGATCCGCCCCCCGGCAGGCATCCGATTCTGCCCGCGGACTAGGCCTTATAGAATGGATTTAGTGGCTGAACCGCGTTACTCGTGATGGAATAGAGGTAATTCGCCGGGTCTGTCTTTTGCCCTGAGATGTGGGTTCGACTCCCGCTCACGACCATTCTTAAGAGTTTGTGCTCGACTGGCCAATCAAGTAAATCAACCGAAGAACGGGACTCTAGATAGTTCAACCAAATCTATCATTTGTCAGCTATATGAGATAACCTTTTCTCATTTTTAAAGAGCTTGTTAGGGCTAAAAAGAAATTCGTACAAAAATACCCCCGACCAGGCGGCATAATCAAATTCTGATTATAATAGATTTGGAGCAACTCTTCTATCTTATCCTTAATGAGTTCCTTTATAGTGTCAAAACAAAGGTCTCCCAGCCTTTCGGCCATATTCTCTTCATTTAAATTTCGCAGGCGTCCTGCCCTAAATACCAGTAACACTACGAGAGGAATATACCCAACTCCGGCTATTGTAAATATGTCTCTGATCATGTCTGACAAAAAACCAAGAATATGTGGATTCATAGAAAAGATTCTTTCTTTTTTTTTGCTCCGCTTTAGGCTATTTCTTTGTTTAGGTAGCTTAAAGACTCTTCTCTTTAGCAAGACCAACAGTCTTACTTAATGAGGGTAGCTTGGCGGTTAACCAAGAAAAGCATGGGATTTTTACTTGCACTTGGAATGAAAAAGCATTCTTTTCAATCTTGTACTAAGGTACACTGAACACCAACTCAATCTCTACTAAATCCAATGGGATACCGCTGCTACCACTATAGCCCCCGCCCCCTTATGACGTATGCCCCTTCACGGGATGGGAGGTGACCTTCGCTACACTCGCCATTGGGCAACCTCCGGGCAGGTATCGGCTTGTTCTATTCTGATGTCATTTTTTGTTATCTATAATATATCGGAAAAGCAGAAAGTCTCTAAAATGAAAATGCTGTAAATCCTTGCGTCTAGGCTTCCATTCACGGAAAGATTATATTAGTGAATTTTGAATGAAAAAGAATCGTTAAATCTTGATATGACAGAGCTGTTATTAATGTAGTGTTTATTAACTGGGTCTTCAATTAATTTGGATAGACGAACGAGGAATTTCATTATTAGTTGCGGAAAGGTCGAAAGATACTTTATTCGTATGAAAAGATAATTGTCTTTAATGTAATAGACTATCTTCTGATTGTTTCACATAGACAAGCAGGAGACGTAACGTAAGGATTAGCTAAAATGCGAAATTAGGGGTATGTGATAGATAGTGATCTATCTTGACTCTATATTTTGATACTTTTTACTTAATGAAATGAAGGTCAACAAAAAAAAGACTAGGTCTTATTATTACTACATGTTAGTACCATTCCCTTGAAACTTCCAGGGGTGTATCTACGTATTTTGCTTGTGCTTAATGTTTTCCGATTCTACTAGAAATCATATAAGAAACTTTTATAATTGTGAGTTTATTGGATTGTTTCATCAGGTTAGAATCCCCTTTTGACTCTTCGCCAGGGATTCCACTATTCTTAATGAACATAATAATGATTAGTGAACAATAATGGAATAATTCCTTCATATTTATAGAGCTAGGGGATATAATTCACATGGATATAGTAAGTCTCGCTTGGGCTGCTTTAATGGTAGTCTTTACATTTTCTCTTTCACTCGGGTAGAAGTGGACTCTAGAAGTACTACTAATTGAGTTGAAGAATCAAACTCAAACCATATCAATTGTTTTATAGATCGTTCTGCAAAGTCCTTTTCATTTGACTTTTTTCTTTTTTTTTTAAGAAAAGGAATAGCTACTGAATCGTTGTACATTTCAATTTGAATTAGGCATTCCGCGTACAAATACAAGTGATCATTAATTACATATATGTCTGATCATATATGTATTACAAATTACAATAAATAAGGAGGATTTAAAATGCGAGATCTAAAAACATATCTCTCCGTGGCACCGGTAGTAAGTACTTTATGGTTTGGGTCTTTAGCAGGTCTATTGATAGAGATCAATCGTTTATTCCCGTTGATATTCTCCTTTTTTTAATTCTCGTTCTAGTTATTGACATGGGAGGGGGTGAAGACGATTAGAGATATAATCAAATATCAGTGACTAATCCCTCCCCTTCCCTTCTTTGAATTTTCGAATTTCTTAAATTATAATAAGTTCGAAAAGAGAAAGAATAAAAGTGGATTCAACATTTCAACGAAATCTTTCAGAATTTGATTTCGAGTTAGCAACTTCTATTTTCTTTTTCGTTCCTTTCTTCTCTCTTTCTTCTCTTTGGATCGGAAAATGGAATAGTTGGTTAAAAAAGTCACCCTACCTATTTGAGTACTTTTTAAAAAATTTCAGTTTACATTGCAAGATCTGATCTGTCCCAAGATCTTTTGGAAATGATAAAATGCAGCAGCCTTGATGCTAGTCTCCCCATTAACCATGTGGCCGTTATCATCTTTAATGGAACGCAAAGTCTTTAGGGCTCTTCTTTCGGATAAGGCAGCTAGATATCCATCAGGTGTTAGATTCGGCCATGGAGGCTGCAGCTGTCGCTGATCTGAGTAGTGAGAAGCTAAAAGGGGAGATGTGGCAGCAGAGGAAGGTTCATGGAAATGAAGGTTCTGCTAGCAGCTTTATGGAAAAGGATCTGGTTTCTGGTCCTGAATCAAGCCACGTTGAGTATTCTGGGCTGAAGGAAAGGAAAGATGGTGGAGCTCTGGACGATGGTAGCCGTGTGGGTAGGGGTGAACGAGTTGCTTCATTCTCCTCTGTTATTCCTGGTATCAATGGGAAGACTGAGAGTCTGAGGGAAGAGATTGAAGAGTTGAAAGCCCAAATGGGCGTGATTTTAATCCTGGAATAAAGGGAGGGACGGGCCTTCGAGCTGGGGAAGCTTCAAACCCATTTGGCAACCTTATGAATACTGGAGAAGTGAGCAATGGAGCTGTCATCAGTGCCAACACTGTGGGGAATGTGGATGCATCCAAACTCCCAGGTGCCATCAGTCCAACTATTGTCCATGAAGAGAGGAAGGTCAATGGCAAGACAAGTGGCTCTACCGGCGGGAGAGTGGCGGCTGGCATTGTAAGGGGTTCTCCTCCACGGATAAAAGAGAAAGTTCTGGATTGTATGGCAAAACGGAAGAGGCTGGGGGAGGCAATCGCTTTGATTATCAGCTGCTCCCCGCCAATCACTTCAATTATAGCCGATCTTCGCCTACCAACTTGACCGCTTGTTGAGAACCCTTAGACGCCAATACTCTTGTTGGGGGGGGGCATAGGCGGCATAGTTCACCTTAGGAAATTGTTCAGTTAGAAAGTCCAAAACCTAGTCTGACCTAAGTACTCAATCAAGCGGGCTACCCGATCTCATCATTCTTCTTTTCCTTAACCGGTGGCGAATCTAGCTCATTTCTTTTTCTTTTTAGTGTATCTCCGACGCCCGGAATTCAATCAAGTTCAAAAAGATGTGACTTGACTTTAGAAAGATTATGAAAAGAGTGACCCTGAGCATAGGCCGACGCATGCTCATTCTATTTTCCCATAGTGGCATTCTCCTTCCTGATTCCAGAGCAGAGAGAGGAAATCTGTCTCATTCGGGGAGATAGTAAAGCATTTTGATACCGGGCTCAGAGAAGAAAGATGCAAAGGCAGGGATTGAGTGAAGCTCTTCCCCTCTCTCCAACTAGTCGCTTTTTCTACTCTAGTTCTTTATATACTCGCTTCAAGTATTCCGCTCGCTCTAGCTATCGCTTTTTCTTTGAAAAAGCTCTTACGCTACGTAAACTACGCTCTTACGCTTAATCGCTCTTACGTTACTTCGTAACTCGATAGTATTCTCATAAAAAAGCTAAGATAGATCTAATAGTTCGCGGAGAGGAACTGGCCAGGAGAATAAGAAGATTTGAGAAAAAGAATTCTTATCCCAAGTCGAGTGACAGGGCTTGACCTTTACGGATGGCTTAACTGATCTAATTAGAAGTACATCGCTAACAGGTTTGCTTGAAATACGCCTTTCAATCTCTTACCTGTTTTTCCTAAGCAAACTCTCATTGGCTGGCCGGAAACTTGCCTAGAAATGCTCCCTCTCCCTCTGGTCGAGCAAGTAAACTCCCTCTCCCTCTCTGATAAGCATGCTTCATAAGGAGGTCCCGGCACGTGAGACCTAGCTCGGGATAGATTATGCATGTAGGGAGGTACAAGGCCCCTTCCCCAGAAATGAATTGGGGAGCCGACTCTAGCTCTGCGATCATACTAGAAAGACGGCTTCTTGGTAATCATCCTAGAAGGCTGCCCCTATTTATTTAGACTGGAATATTGATACTGGAACTGGACCGACAGCCAAAGGAAATTCCCTCTCGATTAAGGTCATTCCCAAGGGCTGCAGGAGAACTCCAACTAAAGATGGGCTTAGAACTTAAACTCACTTTTTGGCAAAGAACAGGTGAAGACCTTAGGACTTTAGGACAGGCGACAGATACGAAGGCTACTAGATGAGGGACTGGTGGGGAACTCCCCATGGCAGGAGGAAAAACTGTTACGGACACTGAAACTCCAGAGTCTTCCATGGCTTATCCAGAAACAGCCTGAAACAGGCTAAAAAGAAAATGGCTTGCTAACAGGATCTGTAACAGGATAGCTTTCAAAAGATTACAAACTTGAAAGAGCTTAACTGTCGCAATTAGCTTCCCTGGCTTGCTTTGCTAGCTTCTACTTTAATGCAGAACTCCCAATAGCAGGAATTACACTCGATGGATTGGTGAAAGAACCTGGCTTTCTAGCTTGACCTTTACTCTTCACACGAAAGCTTTCAAATTCCCTTGTTTAGAGGGACGAAGTGACTCGAACAAAGCAAAGCGAAGAGGTTCTTTAGCGTAGGCTAGTCAGTTTACTTGGAGTAGCTTTCCCGCTGCCCTTCCAGTTGAAGTCATAAGGTAAGCAAGCCTCTCTAGTGAGAGTTCTTACATTGAGAGAAAACTGACTCCTATGATAGTGCTAGGTCCTTCTATTCCTAATCCCTCTCATGTCGATCCATTGTCTAAGGGTTAGAGGGTAGTAAGGGTCTAACCTTGTAAGGCAGGATAAAGAGGAAGCCCTATTCTGTACTATGTCTTAAGTGAGCAAGCCTATGAGAAAGCCGATTTTGGATAAAGTGAGTTTGAAAGAAGGAGGCACCGAAGGTGATAGGGCAAATTCCTGATCACTGGAACTATTCCTCTTTTCTAAAGGAGTTGATAGGGCTCGCGCTTCAAATCCCTCTCTTTATTGGTCGAGAAAATCCCTTTTTGTGTTTTTGCCGCCCTTACCGATAGCTAGAAAATAGATTACGAGGATCGGATCTAGAGTGCCTAAAGCTATTGATAGCGGATATCGGGACTCTTAGAAGTTTCATTTCTTTCGCGAACAAAAAGGGCTTTCATAAGGGTTTTCCAGTCTCTGGGTAAGAAGTTTTCCACCTAGAGCCCGTAATAGTGGGATTTCTCCTATTGCCATTGTATCACTCCTGGGAGAAAGCTAAGGATCTTTGGGAAGCAAGCCCAATTGGAGTGCTTAATAAGGTCTTCACCTGGAGTTCCCCTTTGGTAAGCCCTGTAAATGTAGGGCCAGTTTCCTGTAAGGCAATGGAAGATCTAGTACCTGTTGCAGAAAAAGACTTCTTCCTGCCATCCAACTGCAGCTAAGCCCATTAAGTTCCAGTCTTCTTTTGGTCGGGAGTCCTAAGCCCTGGGAGCAGTCTCAGGGTAAGCCCCATAAGTTGCAGCAAACAAGTCAAATGGCAAAGCAGGAAAGACGGCAAGCGGGTGTCTAAGAGTCAAAGTACTAGGGCTTGAAGTTCATAATAGTCTTACCGTGTCTAAGAGTCCCCCCCAATAATACCAACCGGGTGGATATTTACAAATGAAATTGCTTACCCGATTGTCCAATTTATCGACTCCTGCTACCTTTGCTAGTGAATCCCCTGCAGTTGCAGCTCTTCTTTTATCCGGTCTTGGTTTAGGAAGGGCATCTTCTTTCAGAAAGCACTCCGAGTGAAGAAGAAGAAGCTCATGGCACTGTCGGCATGTCGGAATAACCACTCTTTTTTCTTTCGACTTTTTTTGATTACCCAGCTCGAAAGGAAGCTACTCTCTCTCGGGTGCGAACGAATAGGAAGAGAATTCATCACAAATTGACTAAGAGGCCGCATAACCGGTGCTGTCGGAATTCCTAGTCAAGGGCCCTGCCGTATTCAAGAACCAGAAAAGATCCGATCTACAAATATCCAATTCCAACTATGCTGTAATAGAGGATGGAGAAAAGCGGACTTCCTTCTCAATGCCCGGGCATTCATCCAATGCTTACTTTTAGGCATAGCATTAGCCTATTTCCGCGAGTCAGACAGCCTGATCCGTGCGCTGATCCTTCTATAGTAGGAAGACAAGATCGCAAGGGAATCACTAGTTCCATGCCTTCTACTTAGGCAACCCGAATCCGCGTATATCTACTCTAGCAAGAGAGCAAACTACCAACGAATCCTTCCACTTCTGTAACAGAGGCTAAAAGGTGCGAACGAAGAAAGCTTGTTTGTTTAAAGGCTTCGCACCTACTTGTTGCGTCTCCCGTCATAAGACAGCCGGCCGATACGAGGGATTGACTTAGGCGCAATAGCCTGTTTGAATAGAATCGTAAACGAAACCGCTCTATCGCTACACCCGATCTGTTTACTTATACTTAGCTAATGCTACCTTTGTCAAACAGGAAACTTCCGATCTACTTCTGCGGTTGCTCGCTTCCAAAGCCCTAAGCAAGAGGTCCCATACTGTCCTGTCCTGAACTAGAACAGCTAACTCGGATTCCGGGGACACTTCTGACTTGTTAGCTGCAGGTACGAACGTTGAGAGTTTTATAGGTCCCATCCGGTCTACAAAAAGAGAACTCGAACGCGAACTCGGCTTGACTTTTTAGCTATAGGGACAGTTTCACCGACCTAAGAGCCAATAAACTACGGTAGTCAGAAACTTCCCGTTGATTGAATGTCTATTTCATATTCCTGTCATGCAGGTAATAGATCCAGAACAGTCGTAAGGCATCCCAATAAAAGTTCAGTCGTTACGCCGACAAGTAAGGAAGGAAATAGTCAAAACGCTATGCCCCAATGTTAGGACTTTAGTAGCAGCATTTCTTGATTGAATTCTTCTTGCAACTAATTCCTCAATACCCGGTCATGCTCTTACTACAAGGAAGTTAGGGCAGCGGGCAGGCAGGAAGTTCGGTCAATCAGTCGGTCAGTCGCTCAATCCACCCGAGGCAAGGGATCAGAGGGAAGGGCCGGATAGTTATTGGCTAAACCCAATTTCAATAAAGGGGGTAAAGGGATGAGATTGGGGCTCAGACTATGTATCCCAGGAATGCCAGATCCGGATAAAGAGGGCTTGATGAATAGGTGCCCTATCTTGAGCTTGAAGAAGAAGAAGGAATGACCAGGGTAGAAAAAGGGAGAGCTAGCACTTTCATTTTCAAGCCGACGCCTGGAACTGATGAAGTAAAGTATTTCACCTTCTGAATCTCGGTTAATTTAATCTCTCGAAAGAGGGAAAGAAAGCCCTTTGTCCCCCGGATAAGACAGGGAAAAGTGGAAGAAGATCTAATACATTCTCGTCTGTCCTAGCTTATCTATCCTCGAAACCAGAAAAGAAAAGGCAAAAGAAAGAAGAAAGAAAACTCGACAAGAAGCGAAGAAAGTTCACAAGAGAGAACAGAAAGAATGGTTGGGGGTGCTCTTTATACTAAGAAAGCAGCTTTTTATGCCCAAAAGAAGGACGCCGGTAATGGTGATGGCGGTGAACACGAAAAGCAGGAGTGGCCGAAAGCGAAAGAGAAGCGAAGCTGAAAGCAGAAGAGAAGAAGAATATTATGCCCACTTTCTTTTAGTAGTAAGGGAACTCCCCTTTCGATTTGAACTGAATTCCAGGGTTTCTTTTCCCACTGAGCTACTCTAGTTGAACTTTATTTCCCTACTGAACTTGCTATCTATATCTATATTAGGCTCGTGAGCAACTTTCTTATTTCATACTACCTGCGAGAAAGCGCTTTGCTACTGGTGAGCTACCTATAAACTTTCTCCATCTTGGTCGAGAAGTCAACTAACTTATAGTGCTTTCCACACCCCGCCCCGTAGAGGGAAATTTACCTGTGAATGCGGTGCGGGCCTCCCTTTCACTCGAAACAAGAGTTCCGTGCCAAGCATAAAGATTGAATCAATAGGACCGTATTCTAATCCTAGAAATGCCATAACTCTCTTTCGTCTCGACTTTCTTTCTCAAACCACCGGACAGGGGTGCGGAAATAGCTTCAATTAATGGTAGAGCGGAAATAGCTTCTGATTGGATTTCGCCTGAAACGAATCCCTCGCTTTGATAAGAAAGATCCGAGTAAACAACCTTTGAGCTGAGGTAATATGAAATATTTAGGGTTAGCTTTGCGTTCCTTGAGTATGTTTCTGTCCTAAACTAAGAAAGAGTATAGTGCTCGTTTTGATAAGAGTATTCCATACTATCTGCTGGAAAGTTTACAACGTCCCCCCTATTCAACTACGGGAATTTCTTCTGGTTCGCTACTATCTGAAAACGGCCTACAGCTCACGACTGACCTTGAACTGGCGCTTTCTATTTGAACGGAATTCCACAATTGCATTACCTTCGGCTGCACTTCCTTATCTGTATTCCTGGGCGGGCGTAGAAACCCCTGCTTGAACATGAGCTACGGACCCCCCCACGGCCATCTCAGCTTCCCCGCGAGACTCTGTTTCTCCTGAAGTGAAGGTTTCAGGTTCGTTCCTCTTAGCCTACGGATTGCAATCGTTGAGATGTCATTGTTGAGATCAGAAGCGGGCTTGAACTGCTTTATTCGGTCTTCAGCTGGCCTACGATTGGAGGCTGCTGAAAGAGAAGAAAAGGAAAGGTGGTGCTAAAAAGGGACTGCTACCAATCTTAAACAAAGGGCTAAAAAGAAATTCACTGATTTCACAGCTATATGAAATGAACTTTTTCACTTTGCATCTCCGTCGTATGAAGGGAAATCCCAATCACAGATTTTTCATCTATATGCGCATGCAAAATAAAACTTTAGATCGTAGGCTTATGAAGGGAAATTGATGTTTAATGAAAAATCCCAGGTTTATAGAATCTGGCAGAACAGCTGGGAATAGACTTCCTAGCCCGGGGAAGGTAAAGAAAGCAGTATCGAAGCCGGCCACTGACTTAGAGAACGGGTCTCCCCCTTTTCGAGTGAAGAAAGGAGTCGGTGCACTTCGGCATAAGCCTTACTATTCATCTAACTCTGTAAGCAGTCCTCCTCAGGGAAAAGAACAGTCCACGCATGAGCAAGTATTAAACTCTAACGGAACCCGGGGTTAGTAAAGATAGTTTACCTCCCCTGCCCACGAAGTACGAAGTGAGGGAGGTGTGCTTTCGTGCTTTGAACTAACCTTTACGCACTGAAAGCTCACGAAGGGACTACTTCCTTTCGATTTGAGGACTTTGATTGAATGAGATTCTAGATATCAAAACAGGAAGTTGCTATTTGAACTCGAAGCAACTGACCTTAATTCCCCCCTGGTCTCTATCCTTAAGGAAGTCATGCTTTTGCCCTTTTGAGTGAGTCCTTTGGAGAACGGACTGTTACTAATCCGATGGAAAGAATCCTTGATCTCATCCAGGGAACGGAAACACAAGCTGTTGGTGGCTAAAAAGCACCCGGCTTGAAGCATCTTGGTGGTCTGGCTCATGGTAGGTTTTTTTGTTTTACATGCGGCCTATCGAATCGAAGCGAACTTAGGCCTTTTTGGTCCTATCGAATCTTCCTTTTTCTGTATAAGAAGAGGTAAGGGCACGTAGCGTTTCACTCTTAACTTCTTCTATTAGATAGGGGATGTTACCCAGACTTAGACCCTAAGTCATTCTTAGCGAAGCGACCAATCATAAGAATGAGATACGGGCCTCCCGTCTTTTTCAGTCTCCCTCCTTTCCCTTCATTCTAAGTAAGTAGCGGTCCAAGTCTCCTTCCCGACCGATCGAGGGGGGTAACAAGGCGATCTCCGATCCCAAAGAAGTAGTGTTTCATCTGCCCGATCCCTTACAAATTATTCTTAGCTCTGAAGCATTCCCTCCGAAATCAGTCCATTCAAGAATAATAACAGGTTAAGGCCCCGTTCCACTAGATGAGAGGAAAGAATCTTTCGCTTATGTGACTATAGGTCTTTTCCCTGGAGGCAATAATGGCTAGGAACAAAAGCTAGGAGTTAGCAGATTTAGATAAAGCTTGCTCGTGGCTTTACCTGCTCTTATCCATTGACGGGACTTCTTCAGCTAATGACTTAGGGAACCTGAAGGGCAAGGGGAGCTTTAGCTTCAAAGGACGACTAGATTATCTCCTATCATCTTTCGCTTCTATGCCTACAGGGCTTATCCCTGGATGGAATAATGTCTAGGACCTATTGTATTGGGTACAAGAGTTACCAGATGAATCGAAAGCTCGAAAGAGCAAAAAACTTATTTAGAGAAAGAATGATTAAATTCTTTACTTAGCCTGAAGGGCAATAAACGAGAGACTGAAAAGGAAGGTACCTCGAAACAAAAAGAAGGAACTCTAGCATCGGTCTATCGCTATACTACGAGGGTTGTTCTACCGATCGGCCCAGATGCTGACTACCTTAGCGTACGTCGCTCGGGGCCTACAAACCTCTCGTTAGCTCCATCCCTTCTTAAGCCTGTAACATATTTAGGTCAGCGGAGAAAGCGTGTCCCTCATCTGATGATGCAGGGGACCCGTCGACTTTCTCCCTCATTGGCCCGGGACGCTCGTAAGGTGCTTATTACAGGGGTACGGATACAACCGCACCTAAACTACGCTTTTTTTATAAAGCCATAGGCAAGTTTAAATCAATATTCAATCTAGAAGAGAACCAGCCTTAGTAAACTTACAGGAAAGAAAGGAACCTAATAAACTCAATCATACAAGGAATTAAGAGCTTACTTGCTTCTACATCCACTGGAACGGTACTGAAGCCGGAAGGCTAAGGACCGAGAATAAGAAACAACCTAATAAATAAAAAAAGGGAGTAGAACTTGCTTTTGCACCTACAGCTTTTATCCATTGAAGGAATAGAGTTGAACAACTCCTTACTTAGACTGAAGGGAAAGAAAGGGAAACTTTGAACAACACTGACACAGGGAACTCCTCTTCAGGAATTGCTTCGGTACGGGAATCGGGACGTAAGGAAGGGACCGACAACTATACAATACGAATAAAAATAAATAAATAAAAGGGACTTCAGTCGATAACAGACCATAGGGAAGTAGAGCGTATAAAAAACCATACCAATGGCACATATTCCAGATTTTCAACCTCATTGGCCCCGTTTTCCACATCCATATGCTTGAAACTTGGAAATAACTCTTTGATGGAGTCAGTAGGTAAATGCACATCCAGTCATACAACATAGAAACAGTAATTCATGTTCTTGTGGAATTACTTTGGTTATTAGTTAGGGATACAAATACAAATTAAAATAAGCCAGGTAAACAAGAATAGAAGTTACCATCCAGCATCTACGTTGAGGCCTCGTTTGAACTCCCAATTACGGGTGATACGTCGGAAAGAAGACAGAACGAACTGGATCGGAGAAAGAAAATCGAAATCGTCAAATTATGCACTAACTTGATGGAATGCATATATGAGGAACCATGACATTTCTGGGTTGTCACGGAAGAAGTTGAAACCTCTAATTCGCAAGGAATTCTATCCCATTGGGTTTGAGGAGGACTCGTAGATTCGATGGCAGTGCGCCAGGGAAAGGGCCAAGCTGTACAAGAATACCCCCATTAAAGTACCAAACAAAGGGTTCCACAAGCAAGCTATTACTATTATTCTGGGGATCTCCATTGAGGAGCATCAAACCCTAATGAAAGATCTCTCCCCATTAGCAACAGGTAATCATTTTCAAGCCACAAGAAGGGATCTCCTACTGAACGATAGGAAAGTGAGTTCTTCCAGTTGGCATTCATTAGTCCGGTTGGGTAGGAGCGAGCACCTGATTGATCGCCCAACAAAATAGTTGTTTAGCGAATGACTCAACCTATGCATCCGGTATTTACACACTCTACTTCGAGGTGTGAATCACTTAAACTATTTATTCCCCACTACCCCTGTATTAATGAAAGAATAGAATTTTTGACTTTGACCTTGCGAGCACCCACTCAAAATAGGGAGGGCGAACTCTTATCTCCCCGATCTCCAGGACCGCAAAAGAGATGGAATTTTCCGTCTTCTTAGCCGACGTAAGACCTTCATCCGGCAGCAAAAAGCTGTCCCTTGGAGCAGCTCAAACTTATTCGGGGTATGAAGAAGCGGGAGTGCACCACATGGAGGAGAACCCTACTCGCCTTTGTATGCCAAGTCACTGGACCGGCGAAACGGATTCTCCCGAGGTTGAGCTTTCAAAGCGGGATCGTTCCAACGCGCCCACGCCTTACTGCTTATTCAGGGGCGGGCGAAAGCGCCTATGGGACCATTCGACATTCATAGCCTTTCAATCCTATTGCAAGACTGGAATATGAAACGAAAGTCATCCTGAAATATGCTAGGAGCTTCTTCCCCACATATTCTAACCGGGCATTTTACTATTTGGTCGAGCGGAAAGCCGATTCGTTGGGCGGAATAAGCAGAGGAAAGAAAGAGAACACTTACTTACTCTTACTGCTGATTTCATTCAAAAGCAAAGGAAGAAAGCTACTAGACCAAAGCAAACAGCAAGCTGAAAAACGCTAGCTTTAACTTGAAATTGCGAAAAGAAAGAACAACTATGTAAGTAAACCTTAGCTAGTCCGTAGGTCCGTTAAGGAAATGGAACGAAGCGACTTTACTAAACAAGCGAGAAAAGCCCTATATATTCTATTAGTAAAGCGCTAACGAGCAGAAATCCGGCCCTTCGAGTGCAACCGAACTTGGTGATATAGTGAAGGGAAATTCCGGGAGCAACCCTAGTGGTGACATGAGGAGAATCATTTTTGAACTTCTTGCTTTTTCCTAACAGTTTAGTGGACCCTTCCCGTTGGCTCCCTGAAGGAGATGCGGGATTTAGTCGAGTGGCTTCCTGATTGCAATTCCCTTTTATATGCACTGCTCGTTCTGGATGAAGATAAATCTTTCTAGGTTTCTTCCCCACTGGAGAGGTATTGACTGTATTCCGAGATGTCGGAATGGTACCTGTGAGTACTGACTGTTGTAGCATTGGAGTAATGAACTGAGTTCCTGGGGTGCCCTGTGCTGCTACTAAAGTGTTCATAAGGAGCATCATTTCCTTCATCTGTACTTTTATCTGCTCTATGTTTCCGGCCACTGGGTTTGTTTACTAGAGCTTCTTCTGCTGGCTTTCCTCCTGTTGAGGCTATCATAGCAACCTCTGGTAAATCCTCCCCTTCTTTGATCTTGAGCCGAACTCGGGTTCCTGGCGGTGTGATGAGCTGAGAAGGATCTAATATTCTGCCTTTGCTACTGATCTTGTTGCTGGAGAGTCCGATGTCATTGCTATTCCCATTTGGTTTGCTTCCTTGGTCAGTCTCGAAATTCAGGAGCTCTTGATCGAGGAGGTCCTGGACCTTATGCCTCAATCTGAAGCATCTGTCAGTCCAGTGTCCTGGGCTTCCCATGTTATAATCACAGCGGGCATTGGGATCAAATCCTTTTGGAGGGGGATCAGTTACAGGTTTTGGAGGAACCGTAGTGACCAGGTTTGTTGCAATGAGTTGAGGAAGTAACTGGGATAATGGCATCGGCACAGGGTCAAATCTCCTCTTCCCCTTCTGTTCAATCCCCGTGGTGAACACTAGAAGAGTCAGCAATCGGGTCTTTCGTAGAAACCCCTGCCTGAATGAACACTGCTATCTCGCCTTCTGATCTTTCTTAAGAGATTTTCCTAATTTCTTTCCTACTTCTGTCTATTCGCTTCTACCGGGAGGATTTCCCTGATTGGCTCTCTTGCCTGGAATGACTTCCCTCAGTCCCGTCCCTACTTCTTCTCATGCCACTAATGGATTTCCACTTCTGAACTCCCACGTATTCAATCGATTCTGTTTCATGGCTCGCAGGTCGGAGAGAGTCCACTTCTTCCATTGATTGGGACTTGACTACTTCAGGTGGATCCGATCCTCTTCTTTCGGGTGGATCCCTTTCTATTGATTGCAGCTCGTGAGCAAACTACCTATCTATATTACCATTCTAACCTGTCTTTGCTGAACCGTTGTAATATTCCATATTACCCTAGCTCACAGCTTATCCTTCTTAATTACATCATCCCTAACTCACAGGTTATCCTTCTATGATACATTGGATTTATTGGATTCGAAGTTCGGTTCGACTGAGCGAGCTGTCTTTTCACTTGGGCTGAGAAGAAAAAGAAAGCTTAATAGAGATTCTCCTCTTCGGATGGAGTAAGAGGCTCCTACTACAATATTACATATTGCCTACTTTACGGGTTACGGGTGAGCTACGAGCAGGCTTGATACCACTCCTTCGGACCCTTCGGACTCCAGCGCTTAGAAGAATCCTTATTAAACTCTTATTACATAGATCCTTCCCTGGAGCAACAAGCTAATTCCCTTACTAAAGAAAGAACTGAGACTTAAAAATAATATTATACCAACGCTTCCCTTTTTCTTTGTAAGTAAACTTCCATCTTCTAAAGGGAGAGTAAACTCACCTTAGCAGTTTGATTATCCATTTTATTCCCCTGAGATTGAAGTTGCTACTGTACCTGTCTTTGAAGAATGCTGCGAACCCGGCCTAAACGCTTCCTGAGACTCAACCCTACTTCGTCTTCGCCCTCCAGCCTTTCCAGTAGTGGATTCAGCTCATATTATAAATTCTTACTTCACGAGAGAGATACTCACTATTGAAGGGTATACCCACGGGAGAGATACCGAAACTAGAAGCTTTGTTGCACCGCGCTCATTGACTTTCTATCAGAGGGGTTGACGTTCAGTGCCGTAGGTCAGAAAAGGAATGAGAGATGAGAAGGTGGGTTGCGTATATAAGCCCCATTTGACGGTCTTTCTTTGGTCGAGTAGTCAACTACCTCTTTGCCCAAGGATTGCGAATATGCTTGACTGAGATTCCAAGCGGCCTAAAAGACTGCTTCTTGAGCACATGAATATTCAATTGCTCCCGAGCCTTCGAGAAAGCCCATCCTCTTTCAATGCCATCTGACCCATCTGTTCAACCCCCACTTCCGGATATTCTAATTCTGTATTTCCGCCTGGCCTATCCCATTCCCTTCTGAAATAGATCTTTAGTCCCTTGCAAGCTTTGAATCAATCTAACTATCCTCGGGCAACCTTTGAGTAGACCACAGGCGGGTACTGTCGGATAGAAGCCAGCTAGAACACAATCTTTCTCCTGTCGGATAGAAGCTTTTCAAAGGATTCAGGCACGACTCCAATGCTTATGGAACGAACTACGACTTGCATTGATCCTTTCTTATGAAATGGAAGATCAGGGCTTATTCTCTCCTTGCTGTAGAAATGGAGATTTTCTTTCTCGTACTCGCTTTCCGAAACCGTACTTGAGACTCTTTCTCGCCCCGCCTAACATCTCTCATTCCTTTTCACACCCCTTTAGCGGCTTCACCTTTCTAATTACGTATTTTATTAGAAATGTGTCTTCTTTCTTGCTCTTCGCCGCCTACATCGACGGAACTTCTGAACTAAAGTCCAGATCTGCTTTGTCGCGTTCCTCCCCTTCTCCTTCGCTGACTAGACTTGTGCCCACTCCACTGTCGATGAAGAATGCTTTTCGGGCGTAGAAGCTTTCCTTAACTAAAGCATTCCCTTTCCCGCTTGACTGGAGCATTTAATTTCTTTACTTGACCGGACCAATTCATATATAATTTATATTGAGAAGGATTCGCAATTGCATCACCCATTGTCTAATTAGTTTCGTAGCTTATTGGATTGGATCAAATTCATTAAGTTACACGGAATATGGCAGCCGTAGATAAGCAAGCTGGGGTTGACCACATCTGTCGAAGTAAAGAAGACAGTCAATCCCAATCGATGAGAACGAAGTATTTGATTCTTCGACAAGACGGGGGATCTAGTAGCTGCTTAATCTATGTCAGTAGGTCTCGATACCTTATTTTCAGGTAAAGCCCATCGGCTTAGGAGGACTCTCAATGGAAAGGGGGCCGCTTCCCGCTAGAAAGAAAGCTCGTTCTCGTGCTGCCCTTCTCATCCGTACCATCATCTCTCCTCACCTCAAACTCGGATGTCTTCGAAAGTGCACTGAACATTGCCTCTACCCCAGAGAAGATAGAGTGACCTTCCAGTAAGCTCTCGTTCGCTAGTCCACCGCGCCCCTACTATCTATCTATTAAGGGTGTCACCCAGAAAAGCTTTTACCGGGGTCAGAGTCCACTCTATCATAGGCCTTAGCCATATCAAATGTGCTCGGACTTGTTTAGTCATAAGTCAGTATAATAGGCCGTTGCGGGAAGAGGTGTTGAGACGTTTTATTTTTCCTAAGCAAAGATCGATGCTCCTGCAATCACAAGCAAGTCACTCTCTCGACAAAACAGAAAGCCAAAGCTGCAAGCCGGGAATGATTGACTTAATAAATACAAACTAAAACGTAGCTAGCATCGCTTGGCTCTGACTGAGTGGAAATACGAGGAAGCAGGCAAGCAAGTAGCCCTGTCCTAGAAAACTACGTCGAGGGAAAGATTAAGAGAAAATGAAAGTTAAGAGATAGATAGGCAACTGGAATTACGCACATACCTTTACTACAGCAAGCTCTATAATTCTAATTCCCTTTCTCCTTGGATGAACTGCATTGCTCATATTGACCCGGGTGTAGGTACAGCTAGTCTCTCCACCGAAAGAGTCGCCACTAATCTATTACCTTAGCAAGAAAGAACAAAGAAAGGAATGGAAACACATGCACTTTGACTTTCAAGAAGAAAGACAGAACCAATCTTTCTTGTAGTGCTGAGACTCTTGAGTAGATAGGTGCTCTACTCTATGCCAGCCCCAGTCAAATGAACCCAGTAAGTAATAGAAGTCAGTCATCAATAAGAGTCTTGTATTGAGGTATAAATTGTAAGAGAAAAGATGAAGGAATGAACCTGGGTGAGACAAGGCCAAGATGTGAATAAGAGATGAGCCAATTAAGCAAGCTCATTATGAAGAAAGCTCTACATCGGAAATGATAATAATGTTAAGATGGATGAGTGGAGTGACTAGGAGAGAGAAGGGCTCTCATTAGTGCCCTTACTTTAGATAAATGGAATTAAACATATAAAGTAGTATATCCAGAGCCATACAGAATAGTCAAAAGGAAAGGGTCTACCCGAACTTTCATACTATGCAATTAGCTACTTTTGCTATTGTGGAGGATAGAAACTGACTGACAATGTGATCATGATACGCTGTAGGTGGAAGTCAGAGCAAATTCCGCCCCTAAGCCATTGATCGCATAATACATCAAGAGCTAAACTTGATGCAAGACTGAAGGAGGTACTAAACTTAATTAACATGCCTAAATGGGAGGGCTAGCCTTATGAAATTCCTTGATCAAGAAGAAGGGGAAGGAACACGGGCATATTCACGTCTGGAGATGCGAATCCAGCAAGAAAACTACTGCTGCAATCAAAGGGCTGCCATTAATTAGTCTAACGCACAACGGCTTTACTCAATCCATTGCTTGTTCGTTAGTCCTTATGCACAAATGCGCACAGGAAGGAAATGAAGCTACATCCTAATAGCAGGAAAGAGATTCTATTACCAGTAATTGTCTAGCTACACGTACACGGTCTTCCATCTGCGCCTTCGCTTCGCTTGATGGATTTATGAGTCTTTACGAACTAACTCACCGAGGGATTGAACTTCCATCGTAGTAACCGTAGTTGGGCTCCGAAAGAAGGTTCTGAAAGAATTGTAGGTGAACATCAATAGGGAAAGCAAGAAGCCTGAGAGAGCTTCCAGGCGGAAGTACCTAAGGGCAATCACTCAGAGAACAAATCACACTATTAAAAGCACTAACAGCAGCAGCGGAAAGTTGCCTTGGTTGAGGCACTCTCAGATGGGCTTCTCCCCGGAAGAAAGAAGGGGGTGAGGAAAACAATAGCCTCAAAGAAGGGCATCCCATTGACTCCTTTAGGATAATTGGTTGCAGATGTTGAGACACCAGGTTCAAAGATGGAGGCTAAGACTTCTCACTCTTTATCCTCATTGGACTGAAGGAATACGCTGCTAAGGATGTCTGTCAAAAGAGTCCTCGCTACTCTTTGATCTATCTCCTCAGCTCTTCGATAGAAGCAATATTGGATTACAGGAACTACAGCCAACTAGTAGACGTTACGCTCCTCCCTCTTGCCAGGAGGCACTTCGATGCACTCTCCTTCAGGTAGGATTATTTTATAAACATTGAGGAGGTAAGAGCCCTATCAACCATACATTTCGCATACTAGTGAAAACTAGAAGCTTAAACTCCTTACTCAACTACAAATACAGTAAGGAAAGGGGGGCAACGATCGATCTTGTTTGACTGAGGTGCTCACTGGGTCTTTCAGATTGGTAGCTTCTTTCCCGTCTTGGTCCGTGTCGAAGAGAAATATGGAACCCATCAATGCCCGACCCTAGACTTGAATGAAGCAGCCCGGCTTGGAGCCCTATTTTGGTTATGGGTATCGTGTAGATCCAGCCAAATCCCATATTAGAGACATTGGGGCACCTGCACCTTTATATTAACAAAAAAGATAGGGACCGACCCTTCTCTTCTATCTATACGTGGGATACATTCCCTCTTATCCGGTTAGGGCTTCTTCCCAAGAAATGAACAAGCATCGAAGGCCATTAAAAGCCATGGTACTGAGACCCACCGCTCACCCAACTCACAGTGCGTGGTCGAATTCCTAGGGCGGGCCACACCACACTATAGAATGAAGAATGAAAATTGCTAGCCTTTATTATTTCACATTCCACGGGATTCTCCTTCTGCATTTTTTCCGAGGCTTCTTTCTCTAAGAGCGCATGCCGAATGGGCCCAATTATGCACCTGGCTGCCTTATTGCAAAACCCATCAATCCCCGGAGGTTGGTATACGAAATACAAAGAAAGGCGGAATTTGCAGCATTCAAGTTATTGAAGAAAGTCTTTCCTATAAGAAAGAGGGGGCATTCCGTATTAATTAGATAGAATGAGGGAAGCCTACTTTGATCTTGTTCTAAAGTGCGCCCATTAGTACTACTATAAGAGCCAGGCCAAACAACAGGCTTCTTATATAAATAGAAAGCCCTTTCCCTATCTGCCTTATTTATCCGCACCTATCTACTCTTTTCTTTGGAATGGAAGGTTCGGCTATTCAAATCGTAAGCATAGATTTGGAAATAGATAAGTGGAAGGGTTATTTTGTTCTATAAACCTCGCAGAAGCGGGAGAGCGATCAACCAATTGTTGGGTTCCTGTGCCCTAGTTTATTCATGTGGTTGGGTTAGGCGTATCCGAAACGTAGGTATTACTCTCTTTCTTAACCTGGCCTTACCTTTCGGAAATGTAGACGGGTAAAGCGGATGGAAAGTCTCTCATAGCTACATAGAGATCGAGCTTGGAGGCCAGTCTAGCAGGTGATTTGATCGGGCGCCCACGGAGGCTGCGAAGGGGAATCGGTTCTACTTGAAACGGGGACGATCATCCCAATGGTCACTCATATGGTACTATATGTAGGAGATATTCTGAAAGATCTCATAAGGAGAAGGGAACGACCCCCTTCGATCCTGCCTGCAAAATTGGGGAAGATAGATAAAGGGGAGCTGGCTTGACCAATAGGTACTTCTTCGCTCTAATCTAAATGGAGATAGGGCTTGATGAATCGAGGAGATGGAAACTTCCAAGCAACTTTATGGCGATTTGCAAAGATCGACTCCTACTGTGCCCAACAGCGCTTAAAAACAAGCAAACATTTAACATCTTTTTCAGAGAGGGTGACCGGTTTAATCCCTTCATCGGGAATATATATGAGCTCTCCGATTAGCAGACTCTGAAGAATGAGAAGGAACCACGGCTGCTGCTTCTTTAAATAAAAAAGTTTTGGATCATCAATATCGTTCTTGATGCTAAAATCTCCCTCTATAGGTGTCGAGGGGCTTTACGGCTTCTTCATTCCTAGCCGAACGTTTAGTATAGTATTTGACCCAGCCTAGTTCTGGAATCGGAATGTTTTATAGATATGCTTTCAAAAAAGCAAGGAGTTCACAAGCTATTGATCTACTATATAAGCAGAAAGGGGTGATTAAAAAGCAGCTCGAGACCTCATGGACATAGAGCCTTCCTCTCCCGTTGCTGTTCGGGCTCGGCCGTTAAAGGACGTACCCAAATAGAGCCGTTTAGGCGATGGAATCCTTTATCATGTTTGCCTATCTGACATGACTAACGTTGGTTTTTCTTTCTCAAATAGGGCCACTGGATGCGTTTGGGGATAGGAGGAGATTGACCACTAGGGGGTTCACATGACATGATCTGGAACGGGTGACTCCACTAGCAAGGGAACGGCGGATTCATAATCCACTCTCGCTAATTAGACAAACGGGAATCGAACCCAATTACGAGAGCCTACTATCTCTGTCCTCAACAGTCGCTTCTTTTCTTGCTATCCTTGAGTAAAGGGATAATTATGCTTATACTTTCTTTGGTCTTGAACTCGCTCCCCGCTTGAGAATGAATGTTGGAAACTCTTCGATGACATGTTCCTTTGAGTGCACGATTCCTTAGCTGTGCCTGTTTGGTACCGAGCTCTTTGATGGCCTTTCTTTATCCGTTCACGCTAAAAGGTAGTGAGTGGAGTCAGGCACAAAGCGATCCTCAGCAGCCGAAAGAAGCCTTGTTCGATCTCCTGTTGAAGTGGTGACTCACCTGCAACATAAGTTTTGCAAACCTAGGTTAATTCAACCTTCCACTGGACGAAGGCAAAAAAAAAGAGATAGAATACGACGGTTTTTCAGGCGTATAGAGAATGACACGATCATCTAGCCTTGGCCCTCTCATCATCTGATTCCCGAAAGGCAGAACTGAAGAACGTTTGGGACTGGGCACGACCCCTCTTCTTTCTTTAGACTCTCGTTTTTTGTTTTCTGGATGTGGATTGAGCATTTTGTTGAGTATTGTTTTTGCGCTTGTTAACCTTCTTCTTTTTGACCGGACAACTGGATGCGCGAATCTTGCTCTACCACCCCTTTCTTTAAAAAGAAAGAACTCTAGTGAATGACTAAGAGGAAGTGCCTCTGTGGTTGTCAACGAGAAGTAGCTCGGAGGGTACGATCAGGGGAATATTATCTTTCCTAATGTCTAATGAAGTCCCGCTGTGAGTGTGATTCAAAGAGATGGCAGTGCTCTCTCAATCGTCCGAGGAAGATTAAAAAACCGAGTAACGAGTTCGCGCTTCTGTCAACGAGAAGTAGCTCGTAGAGAGGGGTATTTCTATAGATCCTTATGTCTTATGAAGTTCTCTCTCCCGTAGTTAGTGTGAGAAGGCTTCAGTCTAGCTTCTAGGTGGTAGAGCCATCAAGGAGCTTCCCTGTGCTTCGTAAATCAATAGGATCCTCCTCGTGGGATAGCCTTCAATCAAACAAGTTAAATCCTATCCCTTACCTTAGTGAGACAGAGAGAGCTTATTCTTAGAATCTGGGGTGGTCGTAGATCAGAAGAGATGGCTAAAGGAAGCTAATTCATGCTAGTACGGATTCTTAAGTAAGCAATATAATAAACACAATAATGCCTAAGCAATGGAGTTGTAATTCTTAAGTATGCTCTTTCAAGCGAGTTGTCAGGTAAGTCAGGTAAGAAGTCAGGCTAGCTCATTCCAAGCAAGAGAGGCAGGCAAGAAAGGAAGCATAGCATGCAAGGCACTTCTCGCTCTTTAATAATGCTAGTGGTTCTGCTCCGGTAGGCAAGATATAAGAAAAGCTAACAATGAAAGCTCTAAGCAAGGCAAGGAAGCTTCTCTACTAAGCACTTCACTCTAGTTGTTATGATTATGCTAATGAAAGCAAGGTAGCTTAGCTTGCTTACTCTCCCTGACCTCTTGCTGGAAGCATCGGAATCAAAAGATTGAGAAGGAGGTGGAGTATGCAAGCAACCTTTGCTTTGGATCCGGAGATTGAGATGATGCCTAATGGCTCTAGTCAGCTGCTTCTTACCCTCCAGTTCCCCACCCCCCGAGTCCTTTTGATGGATGCTTTGTAGCTTACCTTCGAAAGATGTTCTATTGGGTCACCTCCTTCCATTGGGAGAGAGATCAGGAGAGCTGGGTTTGGTAGTTCCCGTTAGCTGGCAAGGATACGAATACAGGTAAAGTAATTGGTTTATTGGACTTTGAATGCTGCCTGGCAGCGGAGCGGCTGGAAGAGAAAGAAAAGGAGGTGGAGCTGGGCCAGCAGAGGCACTTGAGAATGAGATGTTTGGTTCTTATCCGGGGTCATTGGATAGGGTGAAAGGCTAGCTTCTGAATCACAGGTTCCTGGTTCAGATGCCGCAAATCCGGTGTGTTGTCTCCTTGAACAGAGAGTAAGAAAGCAGAAATTCCTTCCTCCCTCATTCACGGACACTAAGCAGGGGCGGGCTTTCAAAGTAGTAGCGCTAGCGGCGCAGAAGGAGCTTGACACCATTGAATCAAGTTTGAAAGACTACGTATGAAAGAAGAATCCCCAGAGGGAGTGAACGGAGCTGCGCGAAGTGAGAACTAGAGCTTTAGGTTAACGTCACAGAGCCGGTAGGAACGGCACGTGCTGTATGAAACAATATGGCTCACTTAGGCCCGACGCCAGGACGCTTGTACTAGGATAGCCTATAAGACTTGTGGAGATAATATTAATATAAACCATGGGCCCGGCTAACAAAGGTACTAGAACCTTCTAGCTGATGGTAAAATCTTGGTCTCTGCCTATCGCCGGGACGTGTGATGCGGAGGCTTCCGTCCCCAAGGACGGACTGGGAAGTTATTCCCCTTCAACTTGACCAGCTTAATCACCTAAAGCCTATGAATGAATCTCAACCGTATCCACGTCACATTCAAGGTCGATTAATTGGCTTATTTGAATGCTGAAAAACCGCCTTTTCGATGCTTTTAGTATGGTGACACTAAACTGAAGCGTTCATAAAACGAATAATTGATCCAGCGTAGATTTGAGTTTCAGCGTAAGCCCTAGTTACTAACTTTCCTCCCTTTCCTTACCTAGGGCAGGCTTTCCATCTTAATACTAGAAAGAGACTTTCAGCTTTCACTCTTAATGAATGCAGTAACGGGTGGTTTCCTAAGGGTTTTCCTTACCCTGCTATCGATTCAATTCGTGCCAGCTACGCTTCCTCTTCTAGAACAGTGACAGCCTAGTCTGATTCCCCCTTCCGAAAGTGCCACACATGCCTACTTACTTAGGTCAATCAGTTCCTTCCGTCGCCTTCCCCAGTAGCCCCTTTTGCCCTGTCCTCTTCTATTCCTATTCAACTTGGAATTTATTAAAGTAAGACACTAAAGCATTCAAGCAGGTAAGACAGTGACGAACTCGTCCATTAACTATGCCAGTTGCTTTCAAACAGAGGGCATATTAGAGTAGAGCACCCGCTCATTCTCTTCCTTAGCACAAGCACTAAGCGATAATAATTGTTTTATTTACTTATTTTTGAGAACAACTAAGCGATAATAATTCCTTTATTTACTTATTAAAGTAGTTACCGGAATGCTCATTTTTTGTCCATAAGTTCTCCTCGCCGTAATTCTCTCTGGAAGTCGCCCCTACAACCCCTTGACTCCTGCGGGCTACGTTCGAACTAAACGAGAGTAAGTAACCCCGAGAGAACGGACTGACTACTAGGAGGGGGAAGGACCTGCGCCTAGCTAACGGAGTTCACGAGGAACCGACTTCAGTTAGTGAAGCGAGGCCTCAAACATCAAACCATATCTTACTGAATAATCTGACTGAACCGAGTGAGGTATAGACAGATTATATTATATCACAGCTTGTGTTGTGGCGAGACGAAGGCTTGCTTACCGGACAAGAAGGATTAGACTTTAGACCCACTAATGGACTATAGCGAACGGAGAGAAACAAACCTAAGTCACTACTGTATTGCGAACCATAAGGAACAAACGCACTACCAGTGACTGGCTAAAAGATAGAACACTCTTTCCTATTCCTACTCCAGGCAAGTAGTACGGATACGGACTATAACTCCAGCCTACTGCTCCATACAGAGTACGGATTCAGGGATTTCAAACACTCTAATGGACTATAACGAGCTGAGTAGTGTAGTACTAAAGCCCTGAGTGACTCTTGGCTGCCCTCAGTGATAGACGCAATTACTTTGATTACTCTATTCCTACGAAACGCGCCAATAAAGAGTGGGGGAAGGGACGGATTTGAGACTACCGATGTCTGACGTGCTGATACATAGAGCAGCCGGGTAGTGGATTTTTTAGAAAGAGTGTTTCCTCCTTTTATTAGAGTATAGGTGTTTCCCTCTTCTCTTCTCCGTGTGTATTGAATGATGGAATCAACTACGAGACCGATTGGATAGTGGATTCCGGTTGCTCACATCACTGGTGATATGAGTAAGTTCCTAAGGCTACAAAAGTACAAAGGTAACGATGCAGTTGTCACGGCGGACAACACTGTACATCCAGTGGAGCATGTGGGTGACCTGCCCATTTCGCCCATGAAAGGAGGATCCAAAGTCTTGGAGAACGTTTACCACGTTCCGGGAATGAAGAAAAACTTGGTATCGGTTCCTCAGATTACAGCAGCTGGGCACTATGTGCTTTTCGGTCCAGAGGATGTCAAAGTATTGGCGAACGCAGATGTTCGTGGAGACATCCTAATGGAAGGCAGAAAGGTGAAGAAGCAAGAATGAATCTATTAATCTATTAAAGCTGTCTTTGATTGATCTTCGAAGCTCTCCTAAGGAACTACTACTCAAATGAAAGAAAGAGTCCCACCTACGAGTTTTTGCCTTACTCAGCGGAACCAGGACTACCCCTTTCATGCAGAATCTGTGAATGCGCTTACCTTGACTAACCTACCCGCCTAGATAAAGGAAGGATACCGAATGCTTATCTTCATAAACATCATAGAAGAAGTCTAACTAGAGTCATTATTAGGAGGAACCTTATTGGATTGATAATGAAAACCAGACTAGAGACGAGGAACTTGCACCGAAGAACAACAATACGGTCTACCGGACTGAGACCGACAGACTGCTATCAAGCGGGAGAGAAGGTTGCTCCAGATGAGAGTTGGTCGTGTATATTGCTTTCTCGCCTAACTACAGGTAAGATTCACTACCTCTTCTATCAATATAGCTAGTATAAAGCCTATTCCTTTCCGAAACTGTACGGTACGATTACGATGGTGGATTACTTATTCCGATCTACATCTCCTCGTGCTCGCCTCTGCCTTGCCTGCGGATGATGCCTTTCACCACTTCTTCCTACTCATATTCAATATTCTTTTTTGGCTCGAACTTTATTTTGAGCCGAGACTGTCTTTGTTGAGCTCTACGCCTTTGCCTTTGCCCACGAATTGCGCCGGGGATAAAAGAACATAATTACATTATCCCTTCGACGACTGAGCCGGGGCTTGCCCCTTTCATTTCACATGGAATTGATCGCCTATTTAAAGTAATATTCCATATTACCCTCGCTGACAACGTACCTATCTTAGAAATTCCTCCTATATTTACTGGATCTTGGGTAACTTAGACTGAGATTGGAACTTGATTTGATCATTCGCTCCTCATTCTTAACGAGATGAGCTCATTCATTCCTTGCGCTTAGTTACCTTCATTCATTCCTCCACGGAGAGAGGCTCTATGAAAGAAGAGAATACGGAGCAACCTTCGCCTGAGACGGGGCTTCCTTAGAGTGGACAGAGACTGTGATCCTAGCTTTCTGACTGGGCAAGCAGCTCCTACCGAATTTGCTCCTAGACTGCTTTCAAGGTTCACGTTCACTACGGACAGCAGGGACGGAAACTCCTACTGGCGTTCCTCGTTACTTGACTGACCCACAATCCATTAAATAAGTTCAGTTCAACCTGAGATTCCATTTCTACAGAACGGAGAAAGGGGAGAGCGGGGAAGTTGTTGAGTAAGTCAGTTCAGTGTTCAAGCGGATTGGCAGTCAAGTAAGGATAAGATCTATCTCAAGTAGGAAAGGAGTGAAAGTCAAGGCCCTGGAATTCAGTTCCGTAGGGAAATCAAGATAGGTGGTTTGCTCACCCGTAAAAACGAGGCGCTAAGAAAGAAGAAGTTAAGTCTACGCTAGGAACGAGTTCCGGGCTAAGGACGAAGCAAGTGCTTTAACCCTCCTATTGATTCTTTCTGGTAAATCCCTCTTCGCCTCGAGTCTGGTAGTACTAAAAAAGGTTTGCTGCTCTTCTTCTTTCTGAAAGATAGCTATTCTTCGCCTCTCGAAAGAGGCTACGTACCTGTTAAACGATAAGCGCTACGCTTTTCCCTAGGGCTTTTACTTCTTGTCTACAGCAGTTCAAGTACGAGAAAATGAATTCCTCTAGCTAAGTTCCCTGTCGAGAGGGAAGAAAGGAGAATTTACTTCGGGGCTTAAGGTAGTCCAGTCACCCTCAGGTCATAATAGAGTCTAGTATGACATCGGTAGGAAGATAATGCAGCTAAGCCGAGACTTGCTTCTGAGGCATTTCAGACTTTACTTGCTGTTGCCGATATGATCTTTTCTCTTGTTTCAGAAGTGGAGTTTGCTGCTATCGTAGATAAGAGTGACGGAATTGATAGAGCGAAATCCACCCGGAAAGAAGAACTGCAGCTCGATTTGAGATGAAATCTGGCAATAGCTCTAGGGCTGGTTCTGCACCAGATAAGAGAGTTGGGATTGAGCTTTTACTAAAGGACCTATTATTGTTATTGTCAATTCCCAGTCTTAAGACGATTATCCCGGATTCACCGACATTAGCTTCCGAACAAGCTCATGCCATCTCGTGAGTAATAGAAATCCTTTTCCTTCGTTGTTGCATCGGAATGCTAGTGCAATAAAATAAGACTTTATGAAGGCTGTGAGGGAGCTGCTTTGAGAGAAATTATGCCTATTTAATTCATTTTCTTCGATAGCATCCGATTACTGAACACCTTCAAAATCCGACGGCACACTGAAACAACTCAAGCGAAAGAAGCCCGCATACCCACTCTTCTCTCTCCCCCGCTTGGGGGCCTCGTTGTCGCCTTTGGCTTCAACTACTTTTGCTTCAGGGAACAGATAGCTTGCTGCCCAAGCTTACCTCCCAAAAAACAAGCCATATAGAGTGAGTGGAAAAGGTAAGAAAAGTCTTGGCTACGGAGGGAAGTAAGCAAGAAGTTCTGGTTGCGGGCTAACGTAACGGCTTTCAATCGTGTAGTTCAGTCTGGGCGTAAGGCCTATCTATAGTCCGGTCGGAAAGGCATCAGTTGTTGGGCTAGTAAGGCTCTTTCTTTCGCGGGCAGGTTACAGTTAGTTAACTCTATCCTTTTCGCCATCCTGGTCTTCTCTTTTATTCCTTCCTCAAGGAGTAATCCAGCGGGTTTAGCATATTCTCCATGCCTTTCTCTAGAAGTGATCTTGACCATAGAAGGGCCAAGGTTGCTTGGGCTACGGTCTGTCTTTCTAGATTGCCTAGGAATCTCCAAAATGGAATCTTTGAATCATGCAGCTTTGCTCAAGCACATATGGCACCTCCGCTCAGATGGGGATCATGGTCTCCCCTCCGGATCTTTGTTGTCCTCCTCAACCAACATATTGATATACTAAGGACTGGCGAATTCACACTTCTTCAAGTTCAGCCCCGTGCTTCAAGGCAGGCATCCGAAACAGATCTGGGACTTTGCACATGCTCTTACCATGTCCCACTGAAAACCGGGATGTTGAGGATACCAATACAGAGTGAGAACAGTATGGTAACCTACATAACTCATCAGCCTCATGGATGGACACGATCCCTTACCCTGTGCTATAAGTCGCGCCTTAGCCTATCTTGAGAAGGAAGAAATAGTTAGGTTGGACGGCCGAGGTACCTTACTTCCCAACTGAAGGAGATGTCTAAATGTCATTAGATACGGAATTGGAAGATAGAAAGGATGGTTCGGTCCCCCCATAAAAATCGCCTTAGCATTTAGCATCTCTATCTTCATTCCTTCCCATAGGCATTAGCCCCTTCCCATAGGCATTAGCCTCAGAATCTCCATCTGATCTGAATCCCATTCACATCGTGTGAAGCCAAATCTGAAGTTTGATTCAGAGCTAGTTTCAAACTATAGGGTAGGGGCTCTTCCCGCGCTATTGCGTACGTACTTAGCTTAGCTAGTTTAGGGCTTCTATCGCGCTATTATAGCTAATTTTAGGCTAAAAACACGGGGTTTTAAAGCTAGAGACGTTCAATTCATGCTTTTTTATGATAGCTATTTAATCTTGTTAGTTAATCCATGCCCCCCGTCACAAAGTTGCTAATGGCTTTCGGTACGCCGTGCGCACGAAAGGATCTCAACTGGTGTAGGGTTCTCGTCCCACAGACCCCATTTCGGTGCCATTGCAGTGGGCTCACTGGGCCCTCCAGTTTTTCCGATCGCTCTTCTTGCGCGCGAAGTACAGCAAGCTATAGCCACTTTGCTTCCAAGCGCGGATCGCTAATCAAGTTGAGAGATCGGTCCTGACGTCGAACAGGTTGCCTCCCTAGGCGCGTCGGTGCGCGCGAAGGTTTTGTGGGCCCTTGATCCGATCCCTCTCTTGACTCGCAAGACGCGCTTTACTCACCATAGAATATAGAATAGATCGAGGAAGCAACCATTGCCTGCTTGTCAGGCCAGATTCCATCCGATCTTGTTTGACTGCTTATATACATAATTAGTTAACCCTTCCAAATAGCCCAGAAAATGACAGCCATCAAAAGGCCTAAGCACATATAGCCTCGGCCTGTCCAAATGATGTTCAGCGGTCTCTACCCAAGTAGCTGTGGCCCATGATCCAAAGGACCCGCAACCAGTCAATCATGCTATCCTTACCTTCCAACCAATCGGCCAATCACGCTATCCTTACCTTTCAACCAACCCCTTCGATTCCGCTTCTGCAGCAGTATATAATCTCGGTCCCTTACCTTGATGCCTACAGCTCAATTTGTTTTCCAGTGATGGCAAGAATCCGCGAAATACTTCTTTTTATTTTTCTTCTTCTTGTGTTGTTTCTGAATGGCATCATAGCTACACGAGGGAAAGCGATGCTGCCCACTCTGCCGCAAAAGGGGGCCGCTTTCTTCCCCCCAAAAATGCCAGTTCCACCATCAGGGCCCAGCAAGCAGCATAATTGTGTTCCGAGGCTGCGTTTCATTCCAGCAACAGTAGTATATGGTTCAAAACGCCTTGTTCCATCCGGCGCGAATCCCCTCCATCACTAGTATAGTGGAGGTGTTATTTGTATTGCAATAATGAATAAATGTACGAACACAAATAATGAGCAGACCAGCCCACTTTTATATGTGGGTTCATTTCATAATGTATTTTTGTTTTGAATAAAGAAGCGCGCTCCTGTTAGTGTAACGTAGGTGTCTTTCTCGGTTGATGGATGGGATAAATGCCTATATCGCTTTGTAATGTTATTGTCATGTTGATGCTATATTAAAGAATATAATCTAAAAAAGTTGCTCAAGACTTAGTCCCATTCTTTATAATTGTCTTTCTCGTACTGTGTAAACGAACTTCAAGTCTTAATTGTGTACTCAACAGGAAGCGTCACAGCCTAGGTTTGGGCCACCCCCGATGTCGATCTGCAGTAATAGTTTTCGAAAGTAGTTTTCCGAGGTAGGTTCTATTTTAACCTAGAGCGATTTGCCTGCTTCTTTCTAGGCTATAGTTTACCTGTATCATGCAAATGTCCAACACTTAGGTGCTTTCTAAGATCATCCTATATGAAAGATGTATGACATGTGTGGATAATGAATGACTTGCATGGTATGCAATCTGAACGTCCACAGAGTACAAAAGGTAAGACCTAATAAGAGAAATGAGCTTAGCACAACACGATATGGGATAGAAACCTAATCCTAAAAGGAGAAAACCCATCACTGAACAATCATAGGAATAGAAGAAATAGGTTCAGACCAAGTGACAGAACTCTCTATGAGTTGGGCTACATAAAAGATCCTATTCTAAAATGGATGTAGCTTAACTAAAGCCCAATGCCAAGCAAAGCCCTAGACTACAAGTGAAGAAATTGGGTTCAACTAAGCCCTTAACCCAACATGAGGTGGAGCCTTAACCCGACACAAGATGGGACCCTATTAGGATAGTGGGCTTAGTCAGCCCAACATAGGTTGTCAACCAAAAAGGAGAAGTTCCCGCGATTTAAGGTTTATGGATATCCTACCCTAAGACGAGAGGATTGGGCTTAGAATAAGACCCATCGGTGGATAAGATCACATCCTCATGACAAGAGGTGTACACGTTAGGCCTCACTCAAGGTAATAGGCCAAACCTAACGAGTCCAAACAAATTGGATCTTATTGTATGACAAAACCACAGATTGGGCTTAATTCAAGGCCCAGAAAAGATGGGATGGGTTGAATCCATAAACCGCTCCGTGGGGTCCAATGACTCTCAGAATGGCTTAGAATTGCACACAATTGCTATAACTTGGGTCTAGTCATAATCCTTATGGGCTCAAGTCGTATTGGATCCTAAGTCTCACACATCGGGCTTAATTCAAAGCCCTTCCCTATTTATTCTAAAGGTCCATCATAGGGCCCAGAAACACAGCCTATAAGTAAATTTTCCTAAGGTGAAAAAGAGTGGGCCCAACATAGAACCCCAAGCAATCTAACAAGCACACGCAGTCACACGGGTGGACCTATGGGAAATTTCTAAGCTCTCTAGTGTGGCTAAGTGTCTCCTTATAACTCCGGTAAGGCTTGGGGGAGGAAGCTCCCATTGTGCCTCTCAAGATGGGCTATTTAAGGTGGCCTGCCTTGGTCATCAGCGCGGTTGCTCCCCTTGACGTATCTCATGGTCTGGAGTGGGCCATGGGTACTGGTCCGTGGGGTGGAGGAAACTGGTCGCGGTCACAGCACAGGCCGAGTGGGCCAGGCGCCCGAAACTAGAATCCGCCGGGTTATAGGGCGAAAAAAGTGCAAGTGTGTGCAGGTCAAGCTCATTGAATTGGGTCTTTGTTTGGAAATAGCCATGGACGCATTGGAGTCTTTTCTATCCCTAGTAGAGTCACCACTGTGGGCACCCACACTTT